TGATCCAGCGTTCCTATGTGGCCAAGACTCGAAACGGCCCATTAGGGCGGAGATTCTCTGCCAGGGTAGGCAAGAAGCGGAGCGCTCCAGGTGGACCAGTGGCGCCTTGCCATTGGCGTCATATCCACAAACACCGAACCAACGCAGTTGCGATCTAGTGTTTTGGCTGGGGAACAGTCATGGCGGTCTTGTTCCATACGCACCCTGCAGTCAGTAGCGTAGGCACCGGGTGGAGGACTTTTACCAAAATATTTAACTTCACTGAACTTCTGCCGTCTTGGCGTTTCATTTAGCAAGCGTTACCTCGTGACTATTGCCAAAGCCTTCGACCACATGGCACTTTGCGACCGTTGATTGTGTGTTCGCACGAGCGTCGAAGCTTGGTGGCCTCCCAGTCAGTCGACTGAATGTTAGGGGCACGCGCCGTGCCCCATCGAAGAGCTGCAATCCGTCAACTCCATTTACGGTTAGGGAAGCTGGCGACCTGCGCGGATTTGCCCTCTTTGCATGCTGGCGGCAGAGTCTGAGTCTTCTATCGTGCTTCCGTCTTCTTCGCAATCACAAGCGTCAACGTAGGCATGCTAGGACCCTGAGCCGCGTAGATGTCGTGGCAATGTGCCAACCGTATGAAGTTTGCTGGGCTCTTTAGCAAGCCTGGAATCAAGGCGCGTAGCATCCAAAGCGTAGACTTTGCTCCACCAAACTACAGCTCTATGCAAGTCCGTTTCTTGCCGTAGTTGAAAAAGACGCAGGCGTTCCGCATCATGCAAGGCTGGTAAAGCCAACATGGCTGTTACCAGAAGGCAACATGTTGAATAAATTGACATTGGCACCCCCTTGGGCGAATTCAATTCACTCTTACATTTCTAGTCTGCTTGTTCTCCTGGGATATCCATTTGGAAGCCACAAAGGTCTTCTGCCTTTCGCTTGGACCTTATGCACAGCTGCGACGAAACTGCTGCAGCATGCCATACTGTCACTTGCCACATGCTCTTGCAAGACCATTTGGCTTTGCTGCCGAGTTGCAGCTGATAGTTGCACTCAACGGTTGTTACCGCCGCTGCACGTTTGACTCCGATTGATCGCGATTCTTCACCCAGAGAAACAGCAAATGCGCCATCAGAGTTGGACCTGCACCACGATGCAGAGAAGCTGGGTCTTTCATCTCGCACACTTGCCAATGGAACTTGCTGCTTTGTGGTGCTTGTATAAAACCGCTCCTAACAAGACATCTGAGAGCCCTGCGCTCTGAAACGAACAATCCCTGCTAAATCTGCAAGTCGCAGCCCGTTTCTCTATTGTACAGCTCTTTCATTGCATTCTTGTGGTTCTTGAAGTTCTTTCTAGGACCGAGTGCAACTGCTGTCTTTGAGGCCCGTCCATGCCCTTTGATACTGCGGGAGTGCAATTCCGCACAGGTATCACATCTTACAGCCGAGCCGGCTGTACACCGCGCCTCTGCCAATCGTGCAATCCATGTTGTGAAAGCTGCTTCTCTCAACGTCCAAGGTCACAACGTGGGGCTCAGTGGGCAATCTTTTTTTTTTTCAGCAAACTTCTCAACAGCGTGGAGTGGCGCTCCAACATAGTTCCCGAACCCAGGGTTCGAACTTCCTGGGGGACCTCTGCAAGGCGCAGAGAGTTGCAATTACAAAATCCAGCGCGGTTGAAGGAAGCACAGTTTCTCACATGAAGCTCTCAAGAGCGTTGTGCTTTGTGTCTCTAAATGAATTTCTGCTTCTGTGATTTGATTTTTCCATCCTCAAGCGAGTTCGTGTTGACAAGGTGAATTGCTTTTCATAGAGATTTTGAATTGAGATGAATTTGCAGTCGATGCAAAGAAAGTCAGCACTTTTGCTGCACGTGAAGGTGCATGCTTGCGAAAGAGATTTGGCGAGCACGATGAAACCTGACTGTGTGGAAAGCTTCAAGTGCAACGTGCAGACTTTCGCACCATGCAAGAAAGTGCAAAGCGGAGAGACAAGTCGAGTTAGACACGCAGCAAAATACCATGGCGCATTGCGAGCAGGCGCAAAAGGGGAATCGCTGTCGTTGATTACCTACATGAGTCAGTTTGCATCCAATGAGGCGAGGCGTCCCCGCTGCCTGCTCGATGACTTTTTCAGGGTCGAAATCTCTACGTCAATTATAGAGGCTTTCTCATTGCACATGTATGACCCGCGTGCTTTGCTCGAAAGAATGAACGTTGCAGCATTTTTGCCATACTGAGGACTTTTTTCCCTGCTCTGCCAAAGGGAAATACGTTGCAGCAATCTTACCATACTCAAGACGGTTCTTTGGCTGACCAGACGCTGTCTTTGCGAAAGGGCCAGAGTGGACACATGGTGTTGCTGCCACAGCAGCTGAATGGCCTCGAGGGCTTTGGCGAGCACAGTGAAACCTGGCTCCGAGCACTGCCAGGCAGTTGTGTGGGCTTGCTGCCGCTGCGGGTGTGCCGCAGTGCTCGTCCTGGCGCACTCTATCCAAGCTGGAATTGGTGTAAGCTCTATCACAGTGCATTGTCGAGGAGGAGGCTTCATGGGGAATCGATGTCGTTGATCATTGTCTGTGTCAGTTTGCAATATAGTGAAGCGTCAGTATCGTGGCCAGGTTAGATGTTTCGTGCTTTCACGTGAAGTTTTTGCTGTCAGGTCGATGCTGTTGCTGCGTCGGGAGCAAAAGCTGCAGGAGCTGCGAGAGGGCTGTGCCGAGCACGGCGAAGCCTGGCTCCGGGAAGCGGACTCGCGATCAGTTGTGTGGGCTCGCTGTCGCTGGCGGATGCGCAGCAGAAGTCAGCCGGGCGCAAATTTTCCAAAGCGAAGCTCTATCGCGGCGCATTGCCGAGCAGGACGCTTCATGGGGAATCGCCGCCGTTGGTCACTGCCTGTGTGAGTCAGTTTGTATTGCAATGAGGCGTCGCCGGTGCCTGCTCGATGACTTATTCAGGCTCGGAATTTCTACGTCGATTGCAGAGGCTTTCTCATTGCACATGTATGACCCGCATGCTTTGCTCGAAGGGATGAACATGTTGCAGCATCTTACCATACTGAGGACTGTTCTTTACCTGCCTCGATCGAATCTCTACCGTCTTCCCTGCTGGATCAGCTCCAACCAAGGATACTGCAGCACTATAATACGATCACCGACCACCGGACCTGGCTGCACTGAAACAACTTGACACCATAACTCTAGATACTTATTCACCTGACTTATGCACTTGACTCTATGCACTTCGCCGTATGCAGTTGACTTCATATACTTAAGTTTATACACTGCTTCGACAGCTTTGACAACATCGACTGAGGAACGCAGAGTGAAACACGTAGAGTCAAGTTCATGATCGAAAAATGTCCATATACTTCATAATTAGATGCACTTCGCGCTATGACTCTATAATTCTATGCACTGGATTCTATAACGTAGCGCTAAACTCTTCGCTAATGATGCTTTCGGGCCAATTGTCTTCTAGTTTTGTTCGCTGGCGGCTCCGCGCGTGCCGCAAATTTTTTTAGTTAATAATTAGTTACCGCGCGAAACGCCGTGCCCGGCCAAAAAAAGCAAGCTGGTTGCTGCGAAAATCCCTGGCTCCGGCTCCGGCCTGCTGTGTATAAAGCTTGTTGGCAGAGTCGTTATCAAGGAGACTATAGACATGTTCCTCTCTAAGGCCGCCACGAACATGTTCTAAACTGACGTCCAGCAAGAAGCTGGTGTCTGCTTTGCGAACGGTAGTCTGAAAGGTTCACCAATCAGCTGGTTGTTGCGCTTCTGGATCAGTGGTCTCGAGCCACAGCAAAAGCTGAGTGGACAACATTGAGATTCAATCCAAACCCTAACATGAGTTAGAAAGCAACCAGTTGTCACTTTCAGCTTGGAAGCTGGAAACAACGTTAAATCCAACTTTTAACCTGCCTCCCGTGGAGTATGGGGTAGAGAACTACAATCCCTCTGGTCATCGCCGCTATCAGCCGGAGTCCGCCTAGGCTGTAGCAATCCACAAAGACACACAGAGTATTCTTGCAATATGTCTGCCGTAAGTCCACTTTTGCAAACAGGATTCCGACGCTACCGCTCGCCCAGCAATCGGACCCGTTGCGGCAGTTGCCGAAGTTGTTCCAAATGGGCACGCCTGAGTGGTCTCAACCGGGTACATTTCCTTGCGATGACAGCAACACGTGCGCTCTAACGCCGCCGTCTTGTTCATGTTGTTTGGCCAATGACTTGTTGCCTTCGTTTGCGCTGAGCGCGGAAGCTGCTGTCTTAGTCCGCCCAAGTCAGAAAAAACAGTGGTGCTTCATGGAATTTTGGAACGACCACCAGACCAAAAAAACCGCCCAGGTCTGGAAAAACGAACCAGGTCACATGATCAACCACAGCATCAACAATTATGGTCTTCGATGTTTTTTTAGTTGTGTTTCATCTTGTATGTTTTCTGTTTGTTTCTTTGTGTGCATGCTTTTTTTTGTGTTTCACCTTCGATGGTTGTTCGACATCAGCTTCCGGAAGGTTTGGTCGAACTTCGAAGAAGTTTGTTTGATCCTTGACATGATGTGTCCGTCGCTGGTCCATGGTGTTGTAGCTGATGGAATGTTCAGAAGCTAGTGCTGCAGCTTGGTGGTGGAACGAATGGCATGTCCCGGACAGCTCCAAGACTGAAGTTGCAGCGGTGTTGGTGCAGTGTGGCTAAAACCAAGACGACGGCATAAGCACAGTCTGTTGCGTGACCGCTTCCTTTCGCGATGTTTTGTGACATGTTTGCTGGTGAAATGATGAAAACGCGCATTCGATTTTGGACATTTTTTTGAATGTAGCTCCGCAACATTGCTTTTTGACATGGTTTCATGCTAGCCTACGGTGCATGCATGGTCGACTGTTCAACAAGATGTATGTCATGTAGGTTCACGGGTCGCTGCAACCTTTCACACATGTAGCATGGCATAGCTTTCCTGCACAATTACAATTTGTTGCGGCAAGAGATCGACAAATGTTGCACATTCTTCGTGATGGCTCCTTCGCCTGGGCCTCTTCCTCAGGCCACCCAGAGCATGGAAGTATATGTGCCATGCGCAGGCCTCCAAGACGGAGGTGGTCACCAAAGCCGCACGAAGAAGTGCACACATCCATCAGGCTTGCAAGCATAGGAGCCCTGTCGTGAGGATCCCATGTCCAAGTTCTGTTTGGCAGGCAATTCAGCATTCCATTGGTGGGCACAAATACCAGACGAGCATTGCCAGCTAAGTTTGTGGACAGTTGGTATGTGTGGATCGCTGCTGGAAAGACGGACAGAAAGCCAGTTGCCCTTGGGGAAGTTGCCGTCCCTGCAAGCACCCGCTGTTTTGTCTGCCCCTTACGATGCGTTGTTAGACTTGGGGCTGAGATTGCTTGAACTCCGACTTTGCAGTTTCCAGATGGTATGGCGAGGTCATCGAAAGATTCGTCATGGCCGAAAACAGAGCAGGAATTCGACAAAAAGGCGTGACTACCTTGTTTGCTTGTTGTACGCGATGCATTCTTGAAGCTGGAATCCTTGCACCATCAAAGCGTGAGGCCGCCTCGAAGATTGGTTGCTTGTGTCTGAGATCCTTCCGGTCTCAGTTTTTTTTGTGTTTGCCCTTCTTGTCTGTTGTCAGAGGCTGGCTTAAGGGTGGCAGCGCTGCTGCCTATGGCATGAGCCCTAGATCTAGAATCTAGGCCTCCAAGCACGTAGATTGGACTATGTCCGATCTGCTTGGTAAGGTCTTCTTGCAAGAAGTCGGGTCATGTCTGACAGCAAGGAGGCCAGCAAATTGCAGTTGTGGCAGCAGGGTTCAGCAGGGCACCTGGAATGCTGGCAGTTCTTATCGGTGTTGGTGCCACGTCGCATCATGAAGGCATCAACACGTCACTCGAAACACTCAGCTCGATGCAGGATTCAGAATCTCAGATGCATGCTGCCAAGCTCGCCTTCGAATTGCTGAAAACCCTGGCTCGGTCCTCATTTTTCTTACATCAGCAACAGTATGTCAATCTGCTTCGGTCTTCGTGTGGGCAGGCTTTCGAGATCCAGGATTTCGGAGATTTGGATGCAAATTCTCCGGACTTGCGCACTTCAAGGATGCCTGGCTCCAGTTTACGAAGCGCACGAAACCGGAAGACAAAGGGCTGTGCGCAGGACATGGCTACTGACCAGCCTGCTTCATTACATTCAGGCCAGGTTGCACCTTGTGTCCACGGAGTCCCTGCTGTCGAAAAAACAAGAGAACCCGCTGGAAGCGACAGGTTTCGCTCTTTGCTGACGAGGAGGTCGTGACAGCTCGCAAGACAGCCAGTGACGGCCTCGCTGGGTCTCGTTTCTTGAAAGTGTTGTTCTGGGACTCGGTCTTCAAAGGCCATTATGCTGCAATTGCAGAAGACAGCATCGGAATGCCCAGGCTCAGTTGTTTTCGGGATCAGGGCTTCAGCGGACAGGGTGCTCCATGGCAGCGTCCTCAGTTGCAGGCAACACGCACAAGTCACGGAGGATCTGGTGCGGCACCGAGACCAGTTTGTGATTTCATCAAACGCTGTGTGTGAGAGGGCGTAGGATCATATGGGTGTGGCTTGCTCGCTCGGTTGCCTTTGCGCCGTGCATGCGAGGCCCGAGTCAATCGCTGGCAGATGCAGGTGGTAAAGATGACTCATCTTGACGCAGCTTCTGGGATAAATTGCAGAGGAAGAGTCCCCTCCACGCTTGTCTGCCCAAGAGATGTGGTGCAGAAGGCTGGCATGTCTGCTGCATGGATCACAGGCAAAGAAGGTCCTCGGTTGCTGTTTGGAGGAGAGGCCTGAGGGCTTCCCAAGGGGCAGCAGCTGAAGAAGCCGAACTTGGAGGCTTTGCAGCAGAGGACGATCGCCTGTCCCGGAAGCACCATCTGCCATTTTTAAGGTGGAGAAACGGTGAACGCCGTTCCCCTGGGCTTCGTGTCAAACGTCCAAAGGTGCCTCGGAAGCCAAGATAATCTTCCGGCACGTCAGAGTTGAGCAACATGGCAAGGTGGCATTGTACGCAGCTGGTGTGTCAGATACGCCTGGATCTCGTGATGAAGCAGACGTCAGCCGCTGCTCTGCTCTGTTCTGAAAACTGCAGGGTGGAGCAACCAGATCGTCTCCACACTTGATGCTCAGTCCAGGCATGCCGCATGCCTTTCTTGTGCTGGCCCCTGCTGTAGACAAGCATTCTACAGTTGTGAGCAGACCTGTTTTCAAGTGGCCTTGTTCTGTGCTGCATTGGACTGCTCCCGACAGCGCGGCCTACAACATGCTGGGCTTGGCACAGGACCGACCTCGACTCGTTCTGTAAGAAGAGATAGCAGATAGCAGTATTCATTCACGTTGGCGAAGGAGCTCACGGCTGGCTTCGTTGTAGGTCAGCCGACGAAGACTTCTGTGGACGCGCCTCCGTTCCCCCCCGCCTCGGCATCCTTGAAAGGCTGGGCCTTCGCCTTCTGGAGGCTGCAGTACGTTGAGGAGCAACGGGACAAACAGGGACAAGCGAACGGACATGCAGAACGTATACAGCGCACGCGATCCGGCTCCTGCCTGAGGATAAGATGGCAGCACAGCAGTTGCAGAAGGCTGAGAGGTCGACTCGCATCAACCGCGAGGCCGCGGTCTTGGCATCTGCTCTGCAGAGCAGGGAGGAACCTGCGAATACCCTGCAGTATGTCGGCGTCTTCTTCACATACTGGTCCCTGCTGACCTCCGGGGCTCTTTGCAACCGTGCCAAGGAGGAAACGGTCCTCCAGCCGTCTGCTAAGACAAGTTGAAGTTGCATAAGTGGAGGAACTTCAACTGAAGAAGCTTCATCTGCGACTTCTCTCAGTCCGTCTGCGGGATGTTGAGGCGTGGAGGTGCCGGGCGTGTAGAAGTCAGCAAATGGACCAGTATAGAGGCCAAGAAGACCAAGAGCATGCAAGACGTGCAGTATGACAAGACTGCAGCTACCTCAATTCCCGCAACACGGACAATGACATGTGCTAGACTTCTGTGATAGAGATTGCCTCGGATTGGCCGAGGCACATTACTTGATCGCGCATCTCTCAGATTGCCGTGGGAAAGAAGTCGCTGATGCACTGTTGGATGCCTTTCAGGTGCGAAAGATGCAAGCATTGAAAGAGGAAAGAAGTCGCCTGGACTTTAGGCGCCGCGGTGCTGGCACTGAATGCTGGCCGCAGCAACTATTCACCGGTGTGCAGGTTTCAGACCATGCCTCCAGTTGAAGCCAGGCAGAACATTCAAGCAACAGGGAAGTAGTCAGACGAGCGCAGTACGGCGCAATGCTTGCAGGCAGTCGCTGCACCTTGTCATGGAGGCAAGCCTGCTGTGACTTGTGCAACCTGTGCAAGTCTTGGAGTGGTTCTGCCAGGTCTTCATGGACTTTGTCATGGATTTCGGCAAGCTTGAGCGCCTGGGCTGTCGACACAGGCTCCTGGCAAAGGAGCCGAAGTCTCTCCACGTTGGTCCTTGCCCGAAGTGAAGCTGAGCAGAGTCGTTTAGTATCGTAGAGTGGTGTATCAGGACCTCATCTTCTTGGCAACCGACCCTGCGGAGAGGCAGCAGGCTGCTGGTAGCTGGTGGCAGCGAGTCTGCGAGTCTTGGCCGTTTGTAGGGCAACTCTTGAGATTCTGGCAGGACATCGGCGTGCTCCCTGCAGAGGAAGTCTTCACTTCATCTTGTGACCCAGAGTTATCTTTAAAAAAGAGCAGGAGATTCTTGTCCGCTGGATCAACTGCGCTGAGCTCAGCAGAACGGCTTTCTCCGCGGTTTGAGACCCGCAAGTCCTCTACAGACTCCAACCGCATTGTTGTTTTCGAGCCCTCGAGTTTGCTGTCTTCTAGCTCTGCAGCCGTCAACGTCCCTGGCAGATGAGTTGAACTGCCATTTCAGCACGCATAGTTCGCTGTTACGGATGAGCGGTTGGCGTTGCGGAGTGTGAGAGTTCCTTGTCTGTGAGAGCGTGTTTCGATTGTCTTGAGTCTGGCCAGCTTCAAAACTGTTCGACACGTCCTTCCGCGTCCTCATCGCACCCACTTCGTTTTTCCTTTCAGGGTTGACACCCAGAAGTATTGAATTGGTGGCATTCGATTTGTCCCCATGTCGAGGTAAGCCAGGCGCAGAATAGTTGGTTTTGAGGTTGGCGTTTGCTAGATTCACTCCTCTGTGACGTTTGCGGAGGATCCAGTTGCCGCCAGTCATACTATAGGTACCTGTCGCCGCCAAGGTATCTTGGCAGAAGCCCATCACAGCGTCATCCCCTCGGAATGCGAGCGGCGCAGCGGCGCAGCGGCGCAGTGGCGCAGTGGCGCAGTGGTGGGGTTCGGGTGGACAAGGCTTCAGTGTTGCTGACTGATGCGATGGATGACGAGAACGGCAGGCCTTGCTCCGCTGACGGGTAGAGTCCTAGTCACTGGTCAGCTGGTCAGGTCCAACTGGGCGGCAGCAGACAGTTCAAGCTACGGCTTCAGGCAGGATGCCGAGGAGGGTTTTGCCGTTATCGTAGCGGCGGCTGCTGAAGCTTTAACTTTTACTCCCTTCTGCGGTCGGTGCTGCTTGTGCTCCTGCCGCCTTCGCACTGCAGGTGTCGCGAGGTTCGCGCGATACCCACGCTCCAGACAAAGTCTTTGGAGGTTTTTTTCCAGGAGATGCTGGTTATTGGTTGCAATCCTTTTGCAAAAGCTATGCGAGAGGACGGCAAGATCCTCACCGTGCTGTATGCGATGTTCAGGGCTTACAGGCCTGTTGCCCTTGAGTAGGCCCTTCTTGCGCTGCTCGGAAAGCATGCCAGGAGAAATAAGACGATCTTTGATCCTGAAGATCTGGCGGTGCTCGATGAGCTGCTCAGCTCGCTTCCTGTGACAAGAACGAGCTTGATGTGTCCTTGTCCTTGCATCCCTTTTTTCAGCGGAAGATCTCAGGAAAGACTCAGATCGCCGCGCCGCGTGGGACCGAGCTTAACGGCCTTGGGCTTGCCGCCGATCGAACTCCTCGCTCTTGCGAGAGCAGGCTGCCGCGCAGAATGCTTTCGTCTCTTTGTCACCGCTTCTCATTTCCAGGTGCCAGCTTGCATTAGAGAGTGCCAGACATGTTAAGCAAGCTCGTCTCTCCGTGTGCAGGTTACTGTTGAGCCCATTGGATGTTGTTTCTGGGCAGCGGTTTGCGCTGAAGCCGGGCCGCAAGCCGTGGTATTGCGCCTGTGTGCCGTCGTGATTTTGCAAGTAAGGGCTTCGCTCTGTACTACTCTCTTGCGCGAGGCCAGCGGATTTCGGGGAGTCTGAGGTACTGTAGGGTGAGCGGAACCTGCGGTTGTACAGGAAATCGAAAATGGGGTTTGCCCAGATGAGATCAGATCTTCAAGTCTCTGACGCAGCCTAATCCGCTCTGTGCTCTGACGCAGGCGACGGGCAGTCTTCAGGATGCCTTGCGCCTTTGCGCTTCGGAGGCATGTGAGTGTGACGAGTGACGCGGCAGGACTTGTCGAAGAGATCTTTCAAACAGGCACGCTGAGAGCGGTGGTCGCGCCCGGGTTTTAGCTTCGAGAGCTTCAGGGGTCGTCTTGGGCTTCTGGTTTCTGTTCTGGACATAGACATTCTTCCATTCCGTGCATGGGCATGCGGAGAGCTTGACTGGCGAAAGATGCTCGAATTTTGGCGCTCCTCGGCAGGTTTCAGCCGACGCAGGCCGCGAGCCCCTGCCTGAGCGGCAGAGCACAGACCGAGATCTTCTGCGCCGCTACACTGCTTGTAAGGACAGAACGGACAGGAGGGGAGATCAAAGAGGCAGGGGCCAAAAGACTCTAAGAATTTCAAGCAGCCATCCCTTCAGAGGCAAACTCGATGGCTACCGTCATGACCATGCCGGAGCCTTTTCTCTTTAGAGTTCTTGCATCGAAACTTCGAGATGCACAGGTTCGAGAAGCTGGTCGGAGGTGCTTGGGAAGGCTTCGTCGATCTTTCGAGGCTGGGCGATGCGACGCACTGACATGCATGGAAACAAGCTCTCACCTCCCGATGAGGCTTTGCTTCCCCTGGGAGCCGCTTACAGCCCTGCAAGGGATGGTCGTTGGGCTTAACCTTCCTCTCGGATGGGACGGCTCCTGCAGTAGTCCGATATATCGTTGGGTGCTGTAACGGTGGCATTTGGCACATTGCCGTTGACGATGTTTTTAGCCAAGGTAGTGGGTGCACAGCTTTGTGTCATCGTTTGTCCGCAAGGCCTTGTATGACATCTTGCAGCGCTGGGTGAATCTGCAGGCTGCAGCAGTCCCGCTTAAGACAGCAAGAGGTTGCCATGCCTGTTTCACGCTCCTCTGCAGGTCTACGGCATCTTGATTCCGCAAGCTGACATATCAGGTGTCCGGAGCTCGATCGTGGCACCGGCAAGGCTGCTCCGACGGACATGTTCAGATAGTTGCACTATGTCGGCAGAGTACGAGTCTGGGCGGTGTTGGGTTTGGACAGCTGGTGTTGACAAAATATTAAATGCATTTGATCGCATGACCACCCACGGCTGCTTCTTCGGGCAACACGGCATGAGTTGACTTGAAGAACATCGTAGGGCATTCGAACCTACCGAACATCTTCAGGTCAAGAACCTCGGGAATGATCTAGCTTCCGGCCAAGTTCTCTTGCGACTCATCAAGGCCGTGGTGGTGACCTCGGGCAAAATGGCCGGATGGTACGCACTCCTGTGACTGCCGAAGACTTTAATGCAAGGCACCAACCGTCATCGAGGCAGTGATGTGCATCGAAGCTTGCCGTCTGATCTTTGATGGGAAGTTGGAAGAGAGTTCTTTCCCGAAGCCGGGCAAACGGGGTTTCCATGATTGTACCGGCAATCATGGAAACCAGTGCTTCCGAGAGTGATGCAGTTTGACCGAAAGTAGTGAAACAGTATTTTCCTTTCTTTCCTTCAAGTACTGACACGGACCTCAGCCGGTCGGCGCGGTGGAGTGTACTAGGTATTGACCCTGTCCAGCTTATCAATGCATTTTTGTCAGCAGCCTCTAATGGCGGTGAACGAGCTTTTCGGGCTTTGGTTTTGTAACTCGCGCATTTCCGTTTGGTCACTTCCCGCCCTTTTGCTATGCTTTCTAGTGTTTAGGGTTTATGGCTCCCGCCTTTTGCAGTTCAGGGTTTCCATTTCCCAGGTTGCCACTCCCTTGTCGAGAGTTTCGGATTTGGGCTGTTCGCCACTCCCCGATTCAGTGTTTGGGGTTTCACTGCGGCTGTGCCACTTCCCCTTGTGAGGTTCATGAGTTGGTGCGGCTGGCCGTTACCAGAACCGTTGAGCGTGAGGGTTCGTGTGCTTCGTCAATTGCACCATGTGGATATGGGAACGGAGGTCGCCATGGTTGAATTCGGGGGATCCTGGAAGGTTTGGGACCACTCCCCTTCTTTGTGGTTCGGTGTCAGCTTACGATTCAGGCGCCTTTCCTTAAGAGCTTCGGTCTTTAAGCACGGAGCCAGCCGGCGCTTTGACATACTGGATGGCTCGGGCACATCAAGTTTTATATGTAATTTCTTATATATATATATATATATACACACATAATATACAGATAGCTAGATAGAGTTTGCCTTCAGATTAAGGATGACAGTGTTTTTGTTGTACCTTCTTGTGCCCTTGTTTTTTCTATCTGTTTGCGAACCTCTTTTGACGCTTGTGTCTGGAGTCGCAGTCTGACTGAATGCGAGACTGTTCGCGTTCCATTGCACGGGCGGGATCTGTGCCACGGAACGTCCGCTAGCGAGCCTCCAGGAAGATAGTGGGGTTCTTTCTTGTCGATTTCTGTGGGCCAGGTTTACATGCACAGATCGCACCACGAAAAGATCCTGTATGAGTAGGGGTTGCAGAGCAGCATCATCCAACGACCTTCCAAAATTTCCTCAGGTGCCGACTGCTTGTCCTCTGCGCTCCCAATCCTGGCTGCCCCCTCTGCCACCCCTGCTACACCAACTGGCACTCTTGCTCCCACCCACAGTGCCCTCCACTTAGCACGGGGGCTAGCACTGTTTTCCGAATCATGGGTTACGTGCTTGCTGATCCGTCCAGGCGAGTTTTCGGACTCTTCATCCTTTCTGGATGGGCTCACTGAGTCATGGTTTTCTGAGTTGCGTGTCACCCGGGTCGAGTAGCACCAGAAATAACAAGAGCGGCGAAAGTGCAGAACAAGAAACACCGGAGAACTGGAGGGATTCGTAAACACAATCTGCGAAGCTGAAGAACGCAAGAGCTTAGACAGGTTGCACTGGAGTACAAGACATCGTCCACAAACTGGACAATTCATAAGCACAGCCTACGTAAGTGGAGCACCAGCAATAGCAACAGAATCTCAGAAACAGCACGGTAAGGTGATCCGAGTTTGAGGTAACCTGAACGTGGGCCAATGCAGTCGGGAATGTATGTTCGATACACAAAGCAAGCTTTGCTTTCCCAAATCCGGACAACATGGGACGTCGCCGAATGTGCTGTGCACAGGCTGAGAACCTAATGGAGCAGGCGCGGGTTTATTTTGACATGATGTGTGGAAGCTAGCATTGGCGGCGACAGGTCACAGCCTGCACGACCAGACCTGCTGAAGCCAAGGACGATGCAAACGCAAGTACTCCTTGCTGAGCTCGTTGTTTCCGTCTGATTTGTTTGTGTGAAATGGCCCCTTACAGCTTTTGTGTTTCATTGCGATGTAGGTCGACCTGTAGGATATCCTTTGCTGGGCAAGGCAACTGGGCTGGAAGATCCACCAGGAAATCAAAGATCTGGCTTTTTCCTCGACTGAGCAAAACCGTCCTACGCTCCGCTACATACTTAACTCATTTTTCTTAGTACGCCTCCCCAAGCCACCATATGCTGCCAACCCATCCAACAAATCCAACCTTCAACCGCAAGTCCACAAAGTAAACGTCAAAGCTGTTTGCACCTGCTTCCCGCATTTACTTGCACAGAGTGTTTCAAGCATTCTTCAAGAGAGCTGTTACCTGTCCGCCTTGAAAGGGTTTAGCTATCCGTGCTGGGCACTGGGTTTGGGCTTTGCTATCTGGCCGGCTTGACGGAACTAAATACACTCCTCTACTGTCGTTTTCGGTTTGCGATGAGATCAGGAACGGGTGCCCCCCACACTTTTCAGGATCACGAACACGGTTTGGGAATACTGGGCCCCAGAACATTCATCACTCGTTCAGTGGCTCAAGGCCCGTCATGCTGGAACAGGTGGCTAACACTTCCGGCTACTTGCGAGGTTAGGGGTCTGCATTTAACTGTTTCGAGCATGCATTCTTGCCGCCTTCTTCCCGCGACTGCACAATACCTGGTATGCACGCATGCATCCATGCATCCCCGTGTAAATGGCATATAAACGTACAGATTTGGGGCAGGGTTTCTACGAGCTCTCATGCGTTCCGCAACAGCAGGATGTTGCGTTCGTCGCCTCAGGCTACAGGCTGAAGTCATATCACTGTGGTGCCGGGTCGTTGTTTCAAAAGTTTTGATCCACCATCACTGTCAAGAAGATGTTGTGTAGGAGCGGGATGTGATCGCTCTGGTCCTCCATTTGACGAAGCGATGTCCTCTCCCAAGACGACCCCCAGATGTTCATGTCGTTGTGCCGCCGCAACGTGACCCGTCCTGTGACGAGGTGTGCCATTTTGCAGCCTGACAGAAGAGGCCTTCGTGTCCTGCCAAGAGGCAGCTTGTGATTCTGCGGGCGGGCTAGCAAGTGCCGCCATGAGCCGCCTTTGAGTCTCAGAGGCCCCACTCGCAACGCTGGTGGCCGGCATGCTTCTGACCTGGCCCAACCTGAGGCCTTAGAAACAGAGCAGAGCTAGCGCATGCTAGCGCTAGTGTCTTGCATTTTGGTTTTGCTGTACAGCTCAGACCTGATTCCGGCTCCTCCAGCTCCGCCTTTGCGAAGATGCTTCTGGAAATGGAGCAGTTCACGCAGGAACGGAGCGGGAATGGCTTGGAGAGAGACAGTGCTTTTGCTGCTTCAGGCAGGCCTTCGAGTGGCATCAATGCCGCAGTCGCTTGCCGCAGTGGCCTGTTCATCTCAAGATTCAGCCAGCCTGTGCGTGTTGTTGTCTGCTTGAGTCGTGCTCCGCTTAACAGCCAGGTGCGTGAAGATAATCTGCATCGTTTGCATGACTTCTGCGTGAAGAGTCCGCGCCCTGCTTCTACTGGACTGCCGTTGCAACACGAGCATAAATCGAGTGGTTGTGGCAGTAGGCAGTGCCTCGAGGTGATGAGGATGATGGGGCAAGGCATCGATGGTCTTGAGGGTGTTGGGTGTTCCTTCATCGATGTTGGACACATGTGACATGCAGGCTGCGGAACGTGGTCGAGGCCGTAAAGTTGCAGCAGCGGCTACATGTCTCTCTGCAGAGGCCCTTTGCGGGCATCTCTTCTCGTAAGTGTTGTTTTGCATCTGCTGCACTGGGCTTCTACCTGGCTGCCTGGTCTGGTTATGTTGGACAGGCGGCTGCAGAGTTTTCTGAGCGAGGTCATGATGAGAAGGGCTAGTGGCTCAGAGCTTGGCAGTCCTCGGCCGTTCTTTCTGCTTCTTTTCCAGAGAGCAGGTGCACGCAAGACTGAAAGTCAAGGGTGCTCCTCTGAGCCGACGTTCTGCATAGAAGGGCTCTCGGACAAACAAGCGAGAAGCAAGAGATGAACAGGTACAGGTGGCGGTCGCCTCCTCAGGTTGAATCTTCCTCCTTCGAGCCTGGAGTCGTGTTAGATCCCAGGTCAAGTCATGATTGCCCTTCAGGAGCTGGTTCGGGACGAGGACAGCACCCTGCATTGGCATGGCCCTCTCTGGCGGTCTTTTGGTGCCTCGGTGAGGATTGGATCCTCCTCACCGAAACCGAGCATGCGGCAACGAGATCTTCGCGAGTGCGCAGTGTCGTGGAACTCTCAGCTTCGTCAGTTTCGAGCCCGAAACCTTGCACGCCCAACCACAACAGGTGAGGGAAAACTTAGTCCTCATCGCGAACATCATGCAGTTCTTTTCCATCCGCATCTTGGCCGCCGCAGTAGTCTCTGAGATGATGAAGGCTCCCCGCCCACGGTAGTTAGTACCACAGGTGGGCACAGCGGCAACTGCCAGGCCGGCTCTGGGAAGCAAGGGGGCCTTTTGGTACTCCTGCACCCGAACAGTGCAAGACACGGGTCTTCAGCCCAGTTTACCTTGAGGGGGGCCCTTTGGTTAAGTGTCTTAGCTTGTATGATCAGTCCCTTCACTTTTCGCGCAACCTTGCGACGAAGGGTTTGAATACTTCATGCATGACTCGCCATCTTCGCAGTTTCGCTTTAGCTTCAATCCGGACCCAAGTGTAAAGTGTAAAGGCTCTGAGCAGTTGCATATGTCGGGTGGGCCGACTGCAGCTGAGATCGCAGCGGCCCGATGGCCTGCGAAGCCATGGGCCATGGGGATGGCGGTGTGGGTTTGAAACGCAAGATTTGGCCGAATCGAATATCGTAAGCAGGCTGAATGGAGAGAGAAGCCACAGGGCTCCGCAGCAGGTGTGCTGGAGTGGCATTGCTAAGCTTTACCGAGAGGCGAGGATGCGGTAGCCTCAGATAATCAGACGCCTTGTCACCTTGGCGAGTCAAATAGCGCGGGCAGGCCCGAATCCAAATCCTGCGTGACATCAGAGGTACTGTCCCTGTCTCTTTCTATCTTTGCAAGCTGCCCAAGAGATCTTCCGAGAGGCGAGGATGCGATTGCGGCCAGCTCGGCAGTTCTGTTTACACGCGGATTTTTGCTGGATCAGGTGCTCCGTGCAGAGCCCGAGGCAGACTCCCAGGTGGCTCTCCTTAGACTTGGACGAAGTCTGACGACCAAGCGTTGGATTCTTGGATCTGCCAGCTCTGCTAGCTCAGCAGTTGACTGCCAGGTCTTGGATCCAGACGAATCTTCGCCGCTTCCCTTCTTGCTGCTTGCCTGCCTGACAAGACCAAGCAAACATATGCCTTTTGCATGTCTCTGCTCGTTGAGGCCTGAGCTGTCACACATGGATGGGCTCCGGCCTGAGCTTGCTTCAGGGGAGCTGCAAAAGAGACGGAGGATCTGTAGAAGGCTCTCTTGAAGCCGCTGAGGCGCCGCCAGAACCAGCCCACCAAGGACCGCAGCTGGCTCCAGTTCGGCCTCGGCGCGTCCGACCCTCGGAGCCTTGGCCGTTTGCAGGGGCCCAATCCCCAATCAGTGCACGCGACATCTGCCACATGCGATGCATGCGACATCGTGGGATGGCCTGCGCCATTTGGCCCCCCTCCAGCCGGCCCAGCCCATGCTCAGCCCTTCAAGCCATGGCAGCCGTACAAGCTCGAGGGCAGCCACGGCAGCGAGCGTGCTGCAGACACCAGACCTGCTATGCTCGACACTTCGCGAGCCACACGACTGCATGAAATTGCGAGCGAGGGATTGCATGAGCAGCTGAGCTTTCGCCCGCTTTGCAATGTGATGTTCGTTGCCGAGGTTCAAGGAACTGGCAACTTTGGAGGTTGTTTCTTGTCGTGATGGCTTTGAGGTGCGGCGTCACCATGTTCGACTGCAGGGTTGTGCTTTTCTTCTGGCTCTTTGGGTTGTTGGATGCTGTTCCGCAGACTCTCCTCATGGTCTGGCTCGTTTACGGCTGGGGCGGCTACGGAGGCGAGCCCGCTCTCACGTTCCCTTGCCAACCGGCAAAACACCGTCCGTACAATACACGTAGCGCATTGAGCTTTTGATTTGCATCATGCCTGCTGGAGCTGCCAACCCTGTTGAACAGGGTGCTCGCTCGACGACTTCCGAGCAAGTCACCAGGCCTTTGACGCTCCCGGCCTGGTGTTCGACAGGGCAAAGTGTACTTCTTTGCAGAGGCGCACGCTCGGGAACAGGTTCCTGGCTTTGGGCTTCACAGCCGCTGCAAAACCAGCTGCTGCTGAAGGCTCACAACATGTTTTCATTGCCAGTGCTGCAGCGAACACAGAAGCCAAAGGAAAAGGGAGAGAGGGGCATAGAGGGGCTGCAACTAATGTCAGGCTACAAAGAGCAGATCCTGGCCAGCAAACGAGCGCTGGACAAACTAAGGGCGGACGAGTGCTGGACTCGTAGCTTTGCTTAATGGTTGATGGATGAGAGACTCTGCATGGCAAACCCAATCTTCGTGATTTCTGAGGTGTTGACTGCGATGGTGATTACATACGACGCGTTGCAGGGACTGTGGGGACTGTGTCACCTCTCTTCAAGATCAAGGACTCCCCCCCGGCCCTTAGCCTAGTAAAGGTCGAGTGCCAGAGCGCAGGACGCCTTAATGGAGGTCTACTCAGAGGATCCACCGAACCTCCCGGACCTGGAGGTGCAGGGGATCAACGATGCCCAAACACAGCGGAGATGACTTCTTTCCGAGGATGTTCTCAAGAACCTGTCACAGCTGGACTACCAGGTACATGCGCATCTGGTGCTTGACGCCCGCACTTAACCTGTGCCATGTATTGCTGGAGGCCTACTGCACAATATTTGCCATCAACGGCGGGCCAGAGAGCTTCAGAAAGTCGCTAGTCCGCTAGTCTTCATTGTCAGTCGCCTGGCCTCGGCAGAGTGAATATGCGGCATCAGGAAGAGTGATAGAGCTGCCACTGTCTTTCAGGTACATGGCTGAGGCATCAAATTCTTTGGATGTGGTCATCAAGGACTTCGCCGCGCTTGCCAAGGCAGGGAAGACAAGGGCTTGGGGCGTTCTTGCGCTCTTGAGTTCTTGGCAAGCTTGAAAACTCTGCCAGGCAGTGCAAACATAGTGGCGGTGTGATACACAGCAGGACTGGCTGCGCGAACCTGGATCTGCAAAAAGCCTGCTGACACAGTCAGCAGGAGTTTCAGATCTTCGTGGAGGCATGCTACTGCCATTGGCCGCTGCGCTAGCGGCTGTTGCTGCTACAAGGAGGAGGAGTCGGGCCAAGTGGACCATTCCGCCGAGCCCCAGTGCAAGGAGTGACACCGCCACAAGAAAAGAGCCAAGCTTCGCGAGAGTTGCTTTGTTCCAGCTTACACTGGAACCAACCGACGTGATGAAATTCTGTGGCTATGCAGGTCGGGCTTCATCCGCTTCTTGTTGAGAGTCTGTATGCATCGGGAGGACAGGGAAGATTGGAAGGGAAAAGGATTTGTTAAGCATGCACTGCTGTATGACAAGCCGCCTTCAACTTCCTGTATTTGCCCGAGTATGGCACTCGGATCGGCTACCGCAGTTTCATGCTACCTCGACGACGATGAAGACGACTGCTGCTACTCCTCTGACAAGTACTGCTAAGTGTTAGAAATTCTACTTCCTCTTCCTCCTGCTGCTACTACTACTACTACCACCACCGCCACCACCACCAGCCCCATGTCCTCCCATGCTGAAGTCGAGGTTATTGTGTTGTCCCTGATCGCGAAACAGAGATTAAGAGTCCGCAGTGGCCGCGATCGCGCAACACTACATCTAAACATGTATCCAGAACCATATGCGATCCTTCGCTGGGATCCTAGCAGCTGGCAGGCCGCTGCCCACCACAGCCAAAGACTTTTTGACGCATCCAGACTAGTGCTTTCCAGTGCCCGCGCTTCAGGATACATCCTTTTGTGTAAAACCATATATACCATCCATTGCAATCCTATAGACTTGCAAAGAGGCCTCGAGGGCTTATGTTTCAATGAGCCAAGAAACAGCAATCTTCCCCCTTCACCCCGACGGAACATCTCCCTTGTTGAAGGTGAACTCTCGTTATCTTCACGGGAGGTTCTAGCGATTGGAGAAGATGGAGCCCCGGAGCAGCCGCAACCGGCCAAATCTTCAGCGTTTCAGTATGCTGCGTGGCTTCTCTAGTGTTTGGAGTCTTGCCATTGGCCAACCACAAGCGACGCATCTGTCAGGAAACCTCTGAAGCAGCCGCTGAATCACATACGCTCGCACACGCGTGCATACACACGAACTCGCGCTCACACGCAACAAGCAAGCGCAAACACAGACGCAGAAACAGATGCACACACACACACACAGCCACACAATAACTATTTATGTTACTTCGTCTGGCAGCCGCCTGTAGCCTAGCGAACATCGTCAGATTCGGTGCAGGAAGGCGCTCGGCAAGCTGGAGCATTTGCCGTGCCACTCGCGAGGCGCAGCTTTGTGTTTATCTACTGATATCAGGTCATACCTGCGGCCGCATGCTACCACTTTCATTGTGCGCCTGCAGCTGTTAGAGCATCAACGAAGGATTGCTAGACGCGCTGCCCATCTGTACTCATGGTGCTTGACAGCCAGAATCTGGGTGACGCTCAGGGACTCATGAACCTTCCAGGCATCACAGCTACGGAAACAGCTCTGCTCCGTTCGCAGCTATTGGGAACGCTGGTTGAAGACAATTTCCAATGCTACAGAGTGGCAGTATGCTACGAAGAACGGTGCATCCAGCTGTGCCCTGCTGACATGGGGTCTCTGTTGCTATTGTTCGGACGAGGTGGATAGAGTGTCGGATGCGCGGTCTGATGCGAAAGTGTGCAGCAGATGCTGCGTGATTGCCAGCGACAGGAACGTGCATTGCAGGGCCGGACGAGACCAAACAGGACAAGAATGCAATGCCAGCAGAATCTTAGTTCCAGTCCTGGAGCGAGCTTATCCACATGCCAGCTCTTGATGCTTCAGAGAAGCTTCTGGATGAGCATTGAAGAAAGATTGTAATCAGCTAAGTGTCGTGCGTGCCATAGGCCTAGCAGCAGTCGTACTTGCGATGAATGTAGTCCCGAGCAATAGTATGGATCCTTGCTTGCCGGCAAGTTCGGGCGAGAGCTCGGCCTGCGAATCGCCGGTCAGGTCTTGTACATTGCGAGGATGGCTTTTTGAGCGAAATAGTGAACAGAGTGAAGCAGCGACCACCATGTGCTGAGTTGTTGAGTCTCTGTTTTCGTGGCTGGGATGTGGTGCGCTTTCCACATGTCGTGTATGACTTGGGAAGCAGCACAGGTCCTTCAAAGAGTTGGTGGGAAGCCACCTGCAAAAAGTTCAGCCGGGCGCCTGGACCACAAGCGAAGTAAAAGCCGATGGCAGTGCGCTTCCCCTCGCAAGGTGCGATGCACGGGACGAGTTTACCAACGCATCTCAAGAAGAGGAGGCAACGGCTTGATTTGAACCGCCTTCTGCTGCTTGGTGTGGGCTTGACCTCGCGAGGTTCTGCATATACAAGAAGAGTGGGAGCCCTTCCTGAGCAAGGTGTTTGCATTGCAGCGGCCCGAGTTTGAAGTGAGATAGCAGCAGATGTAAGCTGCAGCATGCCCTCTTGCTACAGGTACTCCGAACATGGATTGAGGGCGAAGCCGCAGCATGAGGCACCGGCCACCTCGGGTCACATTTCGCAAAGTAATCGGTGGAAGCATGGGTTTTCCGCGGGTAAAGACCAGTTTGCAGGTGCATCTCCAGATGGGCGAGGAGTGCTGGGGACATCGTTCTGTGTCGCTTTAGCGCTGTCTGCCAGAGAGTAGTGAATGTGCTTGCGCAAGCGCTGGCTTGGGCTGTGTGCTTGATTGTTGAATCTGGATTGATCCCGTTCTCTTCCGGTTCTCTCACCTCGATGGTGTAGTTGGGGAGGCATTTGTGAGGGCCGTTTGAGTGGCTTCTGACCATGATGCATTCATGCCAAGACTGTGGATACCTGTACAAACCTACTTGACGATTTTGCCAGGTGGGCTAGGATGTACCATGTATCACATGCTTGAATGTCGACTGCTCCCGCAAGGATTCGCTCATTTGCCTCTTTGCTGATGCTGCACTGCTAGGCATCGGACAAGTCATTTGAGAGACTCTTCACGACATGGGAAACTTGAACAGTACTATATGTTGGTTCATAGCTGTCACATAATGTGTTCCATGCCACTGATGAAATGGTCTCTACTGCACCGCGTGATCCCTGTGCAATCCTGTTCCTGTTCGGTAGGTGCGACACTGCCGGCCGATACTGCCAGGCCGGTCCGACGGTCCGACGGTCCGACGTGCTGCTGCACCCTGAGTTGAAGCTCACATTTGCCAGGGGCGTGTACCGCAAGCTTACGCACCGACGACATTTCCAATCGGTGCACACGAACTTCTGCTTTAGAGGGCAGGCAGAGGCTCGGGTGCTCAGTGCAGCGAGACAGGCTGAAGCGCCACCGCCCTCCCTCTGCTTTGCAGCCTGGCCAAGGTGCGACGAAAGCAGCGAAGTCAGAAGCAGAAGAGGAATGCCTCCACGCCGCCGGTCATCAAGGCTCGGGCAGGGTAGTCAGGACGAGGTGTGGTGTGAGTCGCGATGTTTGGCTGACAGCAGGGCATACCGCCTTCTTTGGCGTCTCTGCGGGTTGCGTGTGGGGCTCAGCACCAGGAGGACAAGGACACAGTCTCTGCAGCTGTCAGAGAACTGCTTTGAGGCCCTCCGAGAGGGAGGAGGCTCTTCACTTCGAGGATTTTCAAGAGGTGTGCCTTCTAGCTGTCTGTATCTCAGCTGAGCTCGCGGTCACTTCGGTTTTGTCGCGGTTCCCAGAGTCGGCTGTCATGGAGGCCATGTACCGCTATCCCAATCCGGTGGTACCGTTGCATGAGCGAGTCCTGGACCTACTCGTAGTCATCTCCAGCAAGTTAGCGGCTAGCAGCGCTAGCAGCTCCGGGAGCATCCCAGCGAGTCGTGTGGCCAGTACCAGCAATTGCTGATGGACATGCTCGAGGGCCTGAAAAATCGTCGCCCTGGCATTCTTCTGCCTGCGCTTGTTGTGTTAGGGATTTGTTGATATTAAAGGGATGTTGCAGTTCGTGTCATACTGTCATGACTTGAAGTTGCATGAGATGCTTAGTGCTGTTTCCCGACAGGGCCACTTAGCCGAACAGCACTTCATTCTCATGAATGTCAAAGCACCCACAAGCAAACTTTGTCCATGTCTTTCGGCATCCGACTGCATCGTCTTTGACGCTGGTGTGGAGCCAGTGTGGCCCCCTCCCACCGTCTCTCTTTCATTTCGCTGTTTTCCTGTTCTCTTCATGTTGAGCTTGTCGGCATACCACAGCTGCCTAACTAGGCAGCAAGATCATGGGCTACATTGCCCTTCGACCAGGCATGGAGCCAAGCGGGCTTGCCGAGGAGCCCTCCCTGGACCAGTTGGCAGTGCAGGCCAGGCAGTGACGAGGAGCCATGAGTTCACACGGTCCAGACTCACGCTCGTTCGAGGCACATGGTGCCGAAGAGTGGGATGCGAAATCAAGGCACGAGTCGGCCGTGCGAGTTCCGAATCTTGTGAATGGGAGGGGAAGTTTCATAATGATTTGCAGACACAGCTCGAGCGAAGTTCCTGAAGTTATCCAAGATCTCAGAGCTGAGAAGCCAATTTGGCGATGAAAACTGGCTTCGCTTGACGGACATGCAAGTGTTGCACTGGTGCGCATTTGGAAAGACGCCCACGCCTTCAAACTCCACGAAATCTGCGACAACTTAAATGCGGGACTCATAGATTTTATCTTATTCACCGTAGCGCAGGTCTTTCAAAGACTTGCAGGAAGGACTGCAGGCCAGTGTGTAGCTGTATTCCCTCGAGCATTTTGGCCGCTGGTTCCGAGCCAGGTTTCAGAGGAATCTCCGGATGCTGCCTGGAGTCGAAAAGTGAGACTCGAAGGAAAAGGTACCCTCAAAGCCTTGAGGAGTTCTGACAAGGCGCAGCAGTGACTCTGAAGCACAAGCACAGGGCACGAAGCTGGTGGCTTGTCCAGGACGGGCAAACACCGGCTGTCAGGAGAGGGACACTCACTCGCGTCATCCCCTTGTCACGCGGGCCATAGGCAGTGGCCTTGCAAGGAGAGCCTCCAGTGCACCTCCAACGATCAGTGTTCAGAGCAAGTTTCAAAAGACCCTGCAGACGGCCGGTCACCCGGTCACGTGGTGTCCGTGCCTTCGCTGCAGTGCACCGTGGGAGGCCTTTGGAGCACCGGAGACTCGGGTGTCCGTGCGCCGCACTGTTCTTGCAGCATGTTTGCCATTCGCAGAGAGTCCCCCAACACCTTGAGTCCTTGAGGCGTTGACTTCCATCAAGATCACTGCAGGCAGAAGCGAGTGGGGCCACGGGATCTGGCACTCGTTAGCTTTTCGTTGTGCGAGGCTCTTTGGAAGGGCTGGGCCTGCCGAATGGGTCGAAGTTGGTGTCGCACCGCCCTCGAAGCGATTCCACTCCCCGCGGCATTGGAGCACTCGTGACTGCGTCGTGTGACTGCAGGGTTCTGGCTTTACTAAAAGCCTCCAAGCGCTTGGGCCTTCAGCTGGATGTGACGGCCTCGGAACCACAGCTGATGACTGCGGCCTTCTAGACAAAAGATTGCCGGACGAAGAAAGGCCGCCGACGTCAAAAAGCGACGATCCGAGATCGGGAGGGAGCCCACGGCCGAGCTGTGACATAATGTGACAAAGTCAGATTCCGCAAGGCCTGTCGTCAGAGAAACCCTCGACAGCTTGCATGTTCGTTCAGGGCGATGCACAGGCGACGGTCCTCTGCCATGGTCAAGGCAGCGCCACCTTGACAGTTTAGGCGTTTCGGCAAGCCAAAAGTAGGTCAAGTGCTGTGCCAGCGACAAGCCTGGACAGCAACTTCGACGATTCGAGTCAGCTACGTAAGCCTCTCACAAACTCGGCAGATTCCGGCTCCTGCAGTACAACGATTTCTACAGGGTGACAAAGTATTCCGCTCTGCATTTAGATAGTTCCTCGAGCTGAGGCATCTCCCTGTGCACCACACAGCACAGAACCCTAAATCCTAAACCGGTTTAGAGATTGGGTTTGGGTTGTGTGTTGTCGTCACAGCAAGTCTCGCCAGGTCAAGTTCATGGCAGACCGCCGGCCTGGACGCGCAAGCATGCTCAACAGTTTGCTGCCTGTTGAGAGCCCACAGCCGAGCCGGGCTACCAGCCGAAACTCTAGCCGACCGGAGTCGCCGTAGGATGTGCCTTGTGCAGAAAGACATGCACAAACCCAGATTGTACATAAGCTGAGCTTTCAGCAACAACATATGTCTGGGCGAATGTTTTGCGGCTGAAATGTGGCTGCGAGACGAGGCAAACCATCAAACGTCGGCACAAGAAGCCAAACTTGCTCTGAATTGCAATTGCCCTTGCCTTGAGACGTGACTGTCCATTGTGACCGTGATGCAATGAGCGCGACAAATACGAGCACTGGCAGCAGTCGAAGCATCTCGGATGAGCAGCCTAGTTGGCTCATGGTGGAGGGCTTGAAATCCCTGGTTACAGGGGCTGGTCCTCATTGCAGGCCTGCTGGGGATGGTGGTGCGATGTGGTCAAAGGTGAGCATCTTGACATGTGCAAGGCCGCATGGCGGTGCTCGCCATCGAAGGGCACAAGAAGCTCGAGGCCGCACAGCAGGCGCGAGGATGTAAGCACCACCTCCTTCACCGGTTTCCGTTGGTGCAGTCCCTGGCAGGAACTTTACGATGCCTTCAGTGCCTGCTTTAAGACGGCCATGGGCTTTCCGGCATGGGGGCAGGACAGGTGGAAACAGAAACAGGACAGCTTTGAGTCGAGGAGGTCGTCCGAATGATATTGGCCAAGGTCAATGGCAGAAGTGTCGAGACGTGGCAGCCACATGAGACAATCATGCTTTGTCGGCTGCCAAGATAGTTTCACCCACTTGATGTTTGATTTGTCCGTCTGACAAGGCAATGACACGACATTCTTCGATTTGACAGGCCGGATTGACCTTGCTGCTCTAGATTTCGTTGCACCTGCATTGAGCACGCAGTATGCGATCTCCGGACAACTTGGCTTCCGCAGCTCGAGACTTCTTTCCCGCTGTAGAAAGCAAGCCACAAAGAGTACAGAGATGAAAGAAGGGCATGATAGTGCCATTATATGACGACAGATTCCAGAAGCGGGGTCAAGACCCTGAAGTGCACAGAAAAGCCGGGTCGTGGCCAATGCTGCGGCTGAAGACATACATTGGACACCATGTCAGTCGACGCTCTGCGACCTCGGTGCAAGTTAAAAGTCGAGTAGCCAGAGGCGCTGTGCTTGCAGGGCGATGCACATGCACAAGGCGAGAATGCTTGCTGCCACTGGCATCAGTGGCTCGAACGACCCGACAGATATGTTTCGAATCCTGGCGCCGACGGCCATCTTGGGCTATGGGTTTCCTCAAGCCGCTCGGCCCGTCGGTCGGCTGTATCTGCTCAGACTCAGAGGAGGGATGACCAGAGCCGGCCAACTGCAGGCTCCTTTCGATGCGGCTGTGCGTGAGCAGCTTAGCCACTGTAGCCAGGGTCTTTGCTACGCTGAACTAAGCAAAGAAGCATGAAGGCGAGCATGCCTTCGATCTCATTGCCGTAGACGCCGGCTCCATCGCAGCTCGGATCAGTTGTTGTGAGTGAGAGAACCGGAATACGTAGGTCTTGGATTTTGTTTTAGGTCTTAGCATGTGTCAGAATTGGAATGAACGAGGATCCTGGACCTTACTACTTGGCCTCTCGCTCTTCGTTCACGTCGCTAGATCATGTTCTGCGACGCTTGCTCGACCATACAGACGGGGATGACGCTGTGGCTGCAGCTTTGCAGCTTGCAGAGCTGAGTTCTTCAGCTTGCAAGGAGACCTTCGTCTGATGCTTCAGGGTGTCCGCCAGCAGGACACTGCTGGACGTAGCCTCTTCGAGCCTGAGCCCCAGGGTCGGTGTCGTGAGGCAAGCATGGGGCAGCGCTGCAAGCTGATCGTGGGCTCAGCTGGGGGCTGCGGCACCAACAACCAGGCGACAGATGCATCGCCGTCGTCAGAAGCTTCATCTTGGCCCCACCCCCCCGCGGAGCCTGAGGTGGAGCTGCTTGCTCGCGAAGCCCGGAAAATCATGGCGGAGCCCGGGCCTCGTTCGAGGACGAAGGAAGCCGCCTCAAAGAAGCGCGGGGGGCGCCGCCGGCCGCGTGTGCAGCCGCCGCGTGTGAGCAGAGGTTGGGCCTGGAGGCTCCCATTGCAACAGCAAGGGTCTCGGCTCTCGGCGCTGAGAGCAGAGCAGCAGAACCTGGTACCTGGGGTCCACCTGCCGCCAAGGTCCAAAGTGAGCTGCAAGCAGTGCAGCTGGGCGGACGACGGCTGACACCTCTGGGCCCAATGCCGGCCATTGGCACAGATGCTTTGGAAGGCAGCATGCGAAAGCACAAAGCCTGGAGAACGTTTCATTGCCCTGTTTGCTCTTAGTTTAAAGGCTCGGTGATCGTGGCACAGATGGGTCTTGAGCCCATCATGTCGGCGTTGGCGCATGCTGACATAGTGCATCCTGGCTCAGAAGCATGCATGGAGATCATGAGAACTTCGATCTACTTTTAGCCAAGGCTGTGCGGACGTGCTTATGACCCTGCTGTCTTTGCGGCTGAGCCCATACGGTGCGGATTTCCAGCTTCAGCCGCGTTGCATGCCGCCAAAGTGCTCGAGTGCGGCGCAATTGCAACGGAATCTGGGCAGCACTGATGAATGAATGAAATGTCGTGAACTTTAAAGCGAATGCTGGGAGTTCCAGAAGGCTGTCGGGTACTGGTTTCAGGTGCCTGGAAGTGGCAGTGACTGCCTCGTCGCAGAACTGGACAGGGAAGCAAAAGCAAGGTTCTGGGCACCAAACACGAAGAGGCAAGCTACAACTCTGAGTGTAGCTGCGCACACGCTCTACGAGAAGAGCCACCCTCATCTCTTCGGTTTGCCGGGTGGCGTATTGAGCACGAAGCACGCGGTCTTCAAGCAGCGCGGCCGGGTTGTGGAAGTGGAGGGCACGAAGCTCACAAGGGTTCCACCCGCAGTGAAGCTGGAAGGCCCGCCGCACTTTTGCTGTTCGTTCCTATACTTCAGTGTGTTTCTACTCGTATCACCTTCTTCTTGGCATCTCCCAAGGAGCAAGGGTCCGTGGGTTCCGGGCCGTTGCCATTGACCTCCTTGCCGGCACAGCTGATGTGGAACTATCCGATGGCACGATGGTGTACGGGAGGAACGGTGTCGAGGATTCCTTGGTCAACTCGGGTGAAGAGCTCGGAATCCTGGTCACCGTTTCTGGAGGGGGCATCGAGAGGAACAAATCACATTTAGCCCTCCTCCGTGCCACGTTGCTGCACTGGGGCTTTGAGGGCCGGAAAGCCACGGCTGGGAACTTGGCATTCCCATTCTCACCCTCCGACCTTCAATTTGGTGACGAGGGTGTTCTGACTATTTGCGGCACAAGAGATCCGAGCTTCATCTCGCGGTGGCAAGAGATTCTAAGGGAGGTGGAAGACTACGTCCAGAGCCTCTCATGCCAAGAGGGCCTGACTGTTCGCTTCGTTGCTGCAGGTCTGCAGGGTCAACATCTTCTTCAGTGCCGCGAGGTTGTTGCAAGCTCTGCGGCAGCAGCATGCTCACAGCTGCAAGCAGATACAAGAGCGATCGAGAGCTGGCTGTGCCATGGAAGCGTTGCAGCCGCAGGGTGCTGAGATTGATCATGTTCGTGTGTTTCAAAACTCTTCGCCGTAGCAAGACTATTTCATAAGGACTACACAGTCCATCATCTGCTCGATCTAGACGAGAAGCTTTTGACTCTCTGCTGCAATGCGTAAAAACCCTGAAAAGCCAGAAAAAACAGCAGACTGCAGCAGAAGAGCAAGATGCACCCAGGTGCGATCTCTTTCCAATCCGTGTATTGCATAGCGATGGCTCGGCGCAGGACTGGCACGGAATCCTCCTCTCTCTTCCGAATTTGACTTACAATCCTTTGGAAGTCTCAACGATTGCTTGCTGCAGTGCACTCTTTAGCTTGAGTCAAGAATTCACGTGGCTGTCTTTTTTGTTTCTTGAAAGTGCTTTCAGGAGTAAGTTCAACTCCAATTCTTCCATAGCTTTCTGGTTTTCTTCTTCCATTCTGCTTCAATTTAATTGTTTAAAAAACATTGACAAACGTTGGTGCATCAGAGCTGATTCCTGCTTGCCTGACGTGCAAAAAAAATGCTTAGATCGCCCAGAACCTTGGGGCAAGTGCAGCAGCAGATTTTTTGCAGGATGTGCAGGCAAACCTGTTGCCTTGGGATGCCCCTCCGACGGCTTCGTCGGCAGAGGCTTCCGGAGTTGTTGGCATTGCTCTTCACACTTCACGACGTGACAGGCGTACCAAGACTGGGAGTCTTCCGCGAAGCCTTCAGGCTGGCGCCTTTCGCTCGCATCGAGGGGCTTTCCATCCGAGGAAAGACGGCGTGGAAGAGATAGCAAAAAAAAGGGCCCCGCTTGACCGGAACTCTCAAAGACCGGAGAACCCACCTAAGGCAGACCCAGAGTCAAAGCACATGGGATCCACCTGGCACAATGCAGCACGCAGTAGGAACGATGTATTCTAGACGGCCGCTTGGGATGCAAAGCCTAGGACACTGGAAAAAGGTCAGGAAACCGAGCACAGCGATCGCACGATAGTTCTGAGCAAGTGTGTGCCAAGCATAGGTCGGCATGCAGCCAGGCAAGCAACCCAATGTGCGATTTTACTTGTGAAGAGTTCAATCTCTCCCGAACCACAAGCGACCCAAGGAGTAGCTGGGTGCAACCTCGGAGCCCTGGCGAAAGTGGTGCGTTCCAAGAACGCCGGCGTAAATGCCCCTGGCCATGGTTAGCACCGATTTCACAGTAGCCCTGGGCAGCATGTGCACTGCTGGTATGTCGCATGGCGGTAAGTTACCAGCCGTCCCTTTCGCCAGGAAATCACCTACGACATAATGTTTGCCGATGAGAGCCTGGCCAGCAACAGAATGTCTTCGAAGTGTCAGCCTGTGCGATCTGGCCTTGGTCATCCAAGGGAGTCTTACAACTATGCCAAAAGCAGTCCAGCACTGGATGCTTCTGCAGTTCCGTTGCAAAATGTTTTGGGCATCTTTTGCGATGCCAAGGTCTCAGAGGCTTTTGCAATGCATGTGGCAGCTTGGTGCATGTTGTCGGCTTCGGGCCCAGGATACGTGCTGGGCCATCAAGATCACTTGTGCCCGGCAGGCAAAGCATTGCACATCATGCCTGCCGTGTCATTTTTCAACACGCTGCTGGAGGTTCTTGCCGGCAGTGCCGGTGATCGTGATGTCTACGGCGCACAGCAGCACAGCCGGCTCCTGTCCGTTCAGCTTTGACGAGAAAAAAGTGCGACTGCTCCATTGCCGTCCAGAGCCGAATGATGATTTCAGCTCTACCATGGCCTTCACAGCTGCCCGTTTGCAGACGCGCTCCGGACGGAGATTGCGACCCTTACCGGCGAAAGCCTCCCAGAAGTCACCGATGTTTCAAGCTCCTGCCTCAGATAGCTCAGGGACCACTGAGTCACAGAAGACTCGAAGAAGACTCGAACGACTTGTGGCAAAGAGCTGCTTTCTCTGCCGCTGCAGGCGTCGCATCTCTGGCCAGGTCGCGAGAGCTCTATTTGGAGGCCTCACCTCACGGGAAGGGGAAAACAGCCACCGAGTGTGTTTTGGTGCAAGAATGTGCAGGGTGACCTGACCACCGAAAATTTAGCCCCTGCCTCGGACCGGGGTCTACGCAGAAGAACTTGCATTAGCCTTGAACTGCTGAGGCAGAGGTTGTCTTCCGAACCCAGCTGTTAGGTGAGCTGCTGGCTGACCTGCAGGCGTAGATATTTTCAAGACTCAGCTCCTGCAGCATCTTTGCTGTGCTGGACTTGCTGCAGGCCTGTCGTCTGATTGCGAAGAAATTCTGCTGCACCGATCTTCGTTTAGAGCTCTCGGACAAGGCTGGTTACAGGGCACAGGTTAAGTTGACGGCTTTTGGCCGTCTGAACTTGCAATCCTTCTCAGCCCGCCCCCATGCGGGCTCCTACAGCGGCCTGGAGGTTTATTCCCTCTATTCTCAGATTTTATTCCGGGAGGGCTTGAAAGATACACACACACACACACACACACACACACGCAAACTCTCTCTCTCTCTCTCTGTCTCTCTCTCTCTCTCTTTCTCTGTCTCCCTGTGTCTGTCGCTCTCGCTCTCTTATGCAGGTGCCTTCAAACGGCCCATTTTCTCGGAACTAGCTCGTGAAAGCAGAGTTGGCAAACCCCCTCGTCCCAAAATCCGGCTCCTCCTGCTGTCGGCGGGATGGCAGGCCACAAGTGAGGCCAAGGACGTCATAGAAGAAATAGCGAAAGAGTCAGCCGCCCAGATGGTTGAAGTAGATCAGCTGAGCGGCAGAGAGGAGAGTGATGACGGAGCTGTTTGAAGTTTGGAATCCAGAATTCTTTTGGAGAATTTGTTTGTTTAGGTTTGGCTTCGTCGCTTATGCAGCAAGGCCACTTTTCGTCCATTTCAATCCCTCTGACTTGCTTCGAGCCTAAGAATGTGAGCAGTGCAGGAGAGGCGGCAAGGGTGCGTACAAGGGCAAAAGTGTCCTCCCAAGCGTGCCCTGCTCTTCTGAGCATGCTGAGCATCTTCTTGCTGCATAAACTATCAAAGTAGTTGCAAGGCAATGCGCAAGCGGAGCCGGCTGATGAGAAAGTTCAGGTGCCGTGCGGCAGAGACGAAGCCGAGACACATCCGAGTCCTTTGTCTTTTGGCCAAGATCTCCAGGCCTTGGACGAAATTGCCGGCAAGATTGAAGCAGACACCCGGCTGGCATGTACAAGATGTGAGATCACACGCCCTAGGCAGCATATGTCAACTTGCTCTTAGGATGCTTCCCTTAGCAGCAAGAGGCTGGATGAGACACGATTTCGGAAAGCAGAGTGCTCGGCGCTTCAACGCAGGTGTGACCACCTGCTCTACCCGTACTGGAACTTGACTCCCGACCAGGCACCATGGTGCCTCTTCGTGAAGCGCCGCGGTAGTGCTCTTGCTTGCTGCTTCTAGCTGCAGGAGAAGTCCGTGCATCAGATCATGGAAGTCTTCAATCAGGAGTACTCCGTCAGGTTTGCCTGCTGCCCTCTTGCAAAGATCTTCGATCCAATGCGACCTTGCGGAGGCGGAAAGTTTTAACACGTCGCTTGGACGTGACGATTCAGGCACGGACTGGACTGCTGTCCAGAGGACAACTGGCTCAGTCGGCTCTGCGAGGCCTTTCTTTGGTCGCCAAAGGCGGACTCCTACATGGAGCAGATCTCCCAGGCACAATGTCCTTGCTGCAGCCTTCCTCCGCTGTAAGTCGTTCTGTGTAGCGTCTAGAGTCTAAAGGCTCCAGCATTTTGTTTGAGGCTACTCATGCATAGCTACAGATGCGGTATACATCCACGAGGCCATTTCAGCCGTCATGGATTGGCGCGACCACCTTAGCTCGGCGAGCATCGGGCCAGCGACCCGGAACATTAGATTCGTCGGGACGGCGCTCTACTAGTGCAGGAGTAGATACATCATTGGCAGGAGCTGGCACATGTTGGCGACGGATGAAAAAACGGTACAGGAGCCTCCGAAGGTCGACGGGATAAAGGTGGAAGCTGCGTAGCACTCGTACTCGTACCGTGCATCCTGGCCAGATCTCTTCCATCACGGCCTTGAAGTCGGTTGCCACGGGCTCAGACACATCATCCCTCTGACGAACACGGCATAGCATACCGTACTGCTCATCTCAGGTAAAAACCATCATCATTGGTGCAGTTCCCGACAGAGGTGGTGTGCCAGAAGGCAAGGTGTGCCGTGCTCCCGCGAGCGCAGGGCCGCGATGCTTACACACACACACACGCACACACCATGCCCATGACGTGTGACAGGATATACGGTTGAGGACATTGCGAAGGATATCGTCAAAGCCAACGTAGCCTTGACGAAGAAGGATCAAGGTCGGCCACATCATGCATCAGTCAGGCTTTCCTCAACTTCGCTCCCTTTTCTTGAGGTGGAGGTGGCAAAGGCGCATCTGCCAGAGCCCCAAAGCAAGGCTGTCATGAGCCTGTGAACGTCATGGAGACGTTTGTTTCCTTCCGAGGCCCAGACTGCGGCAGCCATGTCTGCAAAGAGATGGGTTGGAAAGGGCATGGGTAGGGCGCTCAGGTACACAGGCACTGGCTCTGCAGTTTTCTGGATTTTCGCTCCGGTCAGGTTCCGGAGATGCTCGAGACAGTCCTAGAGGCCTGACTCTGTAGGCTTCTTCATGGGCCTTGCCGAGCCGTAGAAGACTTCACAAAGTCCAGCAGCAGTAGTGGCTGCAGAGGGAGTAGCACAGCTGGAACAGCAGTAGGAGTCGGCTGCTGCAGGGGAGAAAGGTGGAGGAGGCGGTGGCTACTACGGTGGCAAAGGCTCGGCATCAGTGGCAGGTGGCCAAAACTCCCTACGCAGCTCGATTGCTTGCAGGCAAAGGTGGTGATGGTGGTGGCGGGCACGCACAGCGGCAGTTTTTGTGTCAAGGGTTTTTTCACCGGCATGTGCAGCTGGCAGGTACTACGGGAAGGGAGGCGGCGGCGGCGGTGGGGGCTACTACTCCCAAGGCCTTCGCAGCATAACGGTTGACCTGGTATGCGCGAAGTTGTTCACCGAGGCAAAGGAGGTGATGGAGGAGGCAGCCTGGACGTGAGATGGCAGACGGCTGACTGGCAATCTCTAGTGGATGCGAGGCGGCTACTACTCCCAAAAAGGGGGTGGCGGTGGCGGCTACTACTCACAAGGCGGTGGCGGAGGCTGCACCATTGGATGCCTGCTACACTACAGATGTAGACGCTGTGAGATCTGTGAGATTTCGACGCAGGAGGTGGTTACTACTCCAAGGGAGGAGGAGACGGGGGAGGCGGCGGTGGCTACTATGCGCAGGGCGGAGGAGGAGGCATTGATGCGGTGTTTGGGTTGAGAAGCTACGTTCCTTTTCGACTCATGACGGCAAGTGCGAGGCGGTTTCTATGCCCAGGGCGGTGGAGGAGGCGGTGTGCCCCTCAGTCAACCCAGATGCTCTCAGTGGACAGTACTGCCGGTCAAGCTTCGAATCGCAGCGACCGGGAGGCTACTACGCGCAAGGAGGTGGTGGAGGCCGCAGTGCAGCAGGTGGAAAAATGCTGCAGAGGTTTCCTGACGTGCCCCTGCAGGAGGATACTATGGTGGCAAAGGCGACAAGGGTGGTGGTGGAGGCCTGGAGGACGATATGCAGCCTGTTCGCGGTACGGTGGGAGCATACGGCTTTTCGTTTAGCAAACTCAGACGAGGTTCATCTCGAGCGACACGATCAGGTACACTTGCATGCCTACTTCGCATTTAGGAGAAACGGCTTACCAGCCGGACATGCACGCAGTGCCATTTACTTGTCGGGGGAGAGCATGCCGTTCAGTCGTTCACGATCTTCGGAAGTCATCAGCCCTAAATCGTGGATATGTGGATATGAAATGTTCTCACAACGATGCGATCATCATCCCGCCCGCACGTGTGGTGCACACCAATTACAAAAGGGTCAAAGATCAACTACTTGACTTGCAGAATGGCTATGCATTGGAGTTTGTTTTGTACGCCATAAGCTTCCCATGCACTTCTTGTATCCACAACTCGCCACCCCCAAAGTGCGAAACTGGAACCCGATGAAGTGGCATGCATATATTGAGCACCACTGTTGAAAGCTTTGTAAAGCATAGCTTGGTGCAAAGACCGTCAGCAACGCCGATATCCGGCGAAGACAGCAGATGATACATCCGCAGTCGTGCACAGCCGATCGGATGCAAGCATCTCATCCTTAAGCAATCATCTTCAACAGCCTTTATTGGCGAGAACATCGCATGCATGCTCAGATGGCTCCTGCTCCCGCAATGACAATGAGGTCAATTACGAGCCTCTGGCTAGTCGGACACGGTGTGAGTTCCTGCCAACTGTCGGACTGTAGGTGGGGTCGCTATCAGGATAGAGGTAGGGACTGGCATGTCAGAGGCACACGGCACACGCGCTATAAGGATGAGGAGCTCGGCACAAGCTGTAAGCACCGATGCTACGCTCATGCTTGAAAAGGCCCGTCTGGTATGAGCATACAAAGCAGACATTGCAATATCAGTCACGACTGAAACTTTTGCATGTCCAGAGCAGCTGCGTGCCACGAAGAAGCTGAATGAAGCGAGCCGGTACATCCGGGCGTCAATGAAGGGTACCATAGCAGGTACCTGCATGTGTCAAGCTTATCCGAGTCCCGCAGTAGCTACGGTCTTTGACCAACATCAACAACCTGGCCCTCTTCGCGGATTGTCGCCTCTCTTTCCACCATCTCTGAACAGAACATGAGCACATGACTGCACCTGGATGCGGAATGTGCAGGTTTTGGCGGCAGGCAGTCGGACAGACCGCCAACTTCAAAAGGTTGGACCAAGGGAGGTGGTGGGTGGGGCTGAAGGCGATTGTACAAAGCGACCTCGTCTTGCCGAACAAACATGTCGTACCTCGGTTCGATGCTCCAACAGAAGCGATCAAACTCGGCAAGACTGGTCATCGCAGCAAGCCCAGGACAGGAATCAAAAGGACCCCGAATCCGAATACATCAGTTGGGCATTCAGACGGGATTTTAGTAGGCCCGAGGCCCTTTGACTACGGGCATTCCTGGCTAGGTAGGGTTCATGCTCGCAAGGGTTTCGGGTGGCCACGCTACGGCAGGGGTTAGGGCCGGATGGGGTGCTTGGGGGCTTGAATCTTACAACATGTCTTTGCAAGGGCTTGGGTTTGCAGGCCAAAGAGCTTTAGGGTTCATGAGTTTCCAACAGTGTTTTGCACGGGGGCTTGGGTTGGCTATGTGAACATGGTGTGGCTGTTTTCAGGGCGGATACAGCACACCCTTGCAAGGTTCGGGTCTGTAGCCAGCAGTTGACAGTGGGGCCAAGGACCCAAGGACAATTCCCAATGTGTCCTTTCTAGGCTTCAGGTTCGCCGCCGACGGTTTCATTTAGCAAAGGTTCGAGTCTACATCAGGCAACAGTCTTGAATGGTTAACTGATTTCCTAAAATGCCCACTCACTGACTTGGGTTCGTCGTCAACGGCATTTTGGGGTTACCGGGTTTCTCAGCACATTTTGTGCATAGGCTTGGCTTTGCTATGCATCGGGATTTCAGGTTAAAGGGAGTTCCCAAACACATCCTCGCAAGGTTTTTTGGGGTTTGTATCCAATGGTTTCTAGGGTCACTGAGTTTCCCAGCATGTTTTTTTGCAATGGCTTGGGTTTGCTATGCATCGGGTTTTCAGTTTCCAATATTTTCCAATGAAATCCTCGCAAGGGTTTTGGGTTTGTAGCCATTTCTCATTATGTTTCTTGGTTTTACTATGCAACGCGTTTTCAGGTTTATCGGATTTCCCGAACACATCCTGGCACGGTCTTAGGTCTTGTAAACAACGGATTCTCAGGCACGTTTTCTTTGCAAGGGCTTCGGTTTGCTATGCATCGGGTTTTCATGTTTAGGGGAGTTTCCAAGCACATCCTCGCAAGGTTTTTTGGGTTTGCAGCCAATGGTTCTTTAAGTTTGAGGGTTAAGGAGTTTCGCAGCACGTTTTTTTGCAGTGGCTTGGGTTTGCTATGCATCGGGTTATCAGGTTTAGGGGAGTTTCCAAACATATCCTCGCAAGGTTTTCGGGTCTGTTGCCAATGATTTTTTGAGGGCTAATGAGTTTCTCATCATGTTTTTTGTTTTACTATGCAGAGCGTTTTCAGGTTTATCGGATTACCCGAACACATCCTGGCAAGGTTTTAGGTTTTGTAACAACGGTTTCTTAGGGTTTTTTGCAGGCATTTGCAAGGGCTTGGGTTTGCTATGCATCGGGGTTTCAGGTGTAAGTTTCTTTCCAAATACATCCTCGCAAGGTTTTTCTGGGTTTGTAGCCAAAAAGGTTTTTATAGGGTTAATGAGTTTTCCAGCATGTTTTCTGCAAGGGCTTGGGTGTTCTATGCGTCGGGCTTTTAGGTTTTGCCGATTTCCCCACCACATCTTTGCAGGGAATTTTGGTTTGCGTGCAGCTGTTTCTGAGGGTTAATGAGTTTCCCAGCACATTCTGTGCAAGGGCTTGGGTTTGCTATGCATCGGGCTTTCAGGTTTAGGGGAGTTTCCAAACACATCCTCGCAAGGTTTTTTGGGGTTTGTATCCAATGGTTTCTAGGGTCAGTGAGTTTCCCAGCATGTTTTTTTGCAATGGCTTGGGTTTGCTATGCATCGGGTTTTCAGTTTCCAATGAAATCCTCGCAAGGGTTTTGGGTTTGTAGCCATTTCTCATTATGTTTCTTGGTTTTACTATGCAACGCGTTTTCAGGTTTATCGGATTTCCCGAACACATCCTGGCACGGTCTTAGGTCTTGTAAACAACGGATTCTCATTTTCATGTTTAGGGGAGTTTCCAAGCACATCCTCGCAAGGTTTTTTGGGTTTGTAGCCAATGGTTCTTTAAGTTTGAGGGTTAAGGAGTTTCGCAGCACGTTTTTTTGCAGTGGCTTGGGTTTGCTATGCATCGGGTTATCAGGTTTAGGGGAGTTTCCAAACATATCCTCGCAAGGTTTTCGGGTTTGTTGCCAATGATTTTTTGAGGGCTAATGAGTTTCTCATCATGTTTTTTTGTTTTACTATGCAGAGCGTTTTCAGGTTTATCGGATTACCCGAACACATCCTGGCAAGGTTTTAGGTTTTGTAACAACGGTTTCTTAGGGTTTTTTGCAGGCATTTGCAAGGGCTTGGGTTTGCTATGCATCGGGGTTTCAGGTGTAAGTTTCTTTCCAAATACATCCTCGCAAGGTTTTTCTGGGTTTGTAGCCAAAAAGGTTTTTATAGGGTTAATGAGTTTTCCAGCATGTTTTCTGCAAGGGCTTGGGTTTTCTATGCGTCGGGCTTTTAGGTTTTGCCGATTTCCCCACCACATCTTTGCAGGGAATTTTGGTTTGCGCGCAGCTGTTTCTGAGGGTTAATGAGTTTCCCAGCACATTCTGTGCAAGGGCTTGGGTTTGCTATGCATCGGGGTTTCAGGTTTAGGGGAGTTTCCAAACACATCCTCGCAAGGTTTTGTGGGGTTTGTATCCAATGGTTTTTAGGGTCAGTGAGTTTCCCAGCATGTTTCTTGCAAGAGCTGGGGTTTGCTATGCATCACGTTTTCAGGTTTAACGGAATTCCCAAACACATCCTTGCAAGGTTTGAGGTTTTAGACAACGGTTCCTTAATGTTTTTGAATGTCCCAGCACGTTTTGTGCAAGGGCTTGGTTGTGCTATGCATCGGGTTTTCAGGTTTAGGGGAGTTTCCAAACACATCCTCGCAAGGTTTTCGGGTTTGTAGCCAATGGTTTTCTAGGGTTAATGAGTTTCCAAGAACGTTTTCTGCAAGGGCTTGGGTTTGCTATGCGTCGGAATTTCAGGTTTAACGGATATCCCCAACACATCCTTGCAAGGTTTGAGGTTTGTAGACAACAGTTTTTTAGGGTTAATGAGTTTCCCAGCACATTTTGTGCAGGTTTGCTATGCATCGGTTTTTCAGGTTTAGGGGAGTTTCCAAACACACCCTTGCAAGGTTTTTTGGGGTTTGTAGCCAATGGTTTTTTAGGGTTATTGAGTTTCTAGCGCGTTGTTTGCAAGGGCTTGGGTTTGCCATGCGTCGGGATTTCAGGTTTCACGGATTTCCAAAAACACACATTCATGCAAGTTTTTAGGGTTAGTGAGTTTCCCAGCACATTTTGTGCAAAGGCTTGGGTTTGCTATGCATCGGCTTTTCAAGTTTAGGGGAGTTTCCAAACACATCCTCGCAAGGTTTTTTGGGGTTTGTAACCAATGCGTTTTTAGGGTTAATGAGCTTTCCGGCACGTTTCTTCTAAGGGCTTCGGTTTACTATGTGTCGGGATTGCAGGTTTAACGGATTTCCAGAACAACACATCCTTGCAAGATTTTAGGTTTGTAGACAGGGGTTCCTTAGGGTTGATAAGTGTCCCAGCGCATTTTTTGCAAGGGCTTACGTTTGCTATACATCGCTTTTTCAGGTTTAGGGGAGTTTCCAAACACACCCTTGCAAGGTTTTTTTGGGTTTGTAGCCAATGGCTTTTTAGGGTTAATGAGTTTCCAGCTCGTTTTTTGCAAGGGCTTGGGTTTGCTGTGCGTCGGATTTCAGGTTTAAACGGATTTCCCCAACACCTAAATGTAAATGAGTTTTCCAGCACGTTTTGTGCAAGGGCTTGGGTTTGCTATGCATCGGTTTTTCAGGTTTAGGGGAGTTCCCAAACACACCCTTGCAAGGTTTTTTGGGGTTTGTAGCCAATGGCTTTTTAGGGTTAATGAGTTTCTAGCGCGTTGTTTGCAAGGGCTTGGGTTTGCTATGCGTCGGGATTTCAGGTGCTTTGGCCATTCGCGGGGCCAAGAAGGGTCATGTGCGACCGTCGTCAACCCGGCCTTCGCAACGCGCGTCAGCACAGACACCCGGAAACTTCCCTTCGCAGACCGAATTGTCGGTTCCTAGCCTATTGGAGCTTTCAGATCAGCAGCAGATTGGGCATCTTGCGCCGTGTTTTGCAGATGCAGGTGTTCAAACATTAGGCATCTATGCTCTTGTCGTCTCGGGGTATGCTGCCGGAAGTGGAAGCAGCAGTAGCAATGCGCTATCCTGCAATGTGGCAACGCAGACAGACTTGATGCAGATGCATTTCAGCTCCTCGACCTCATGGCTCAGGAAGCATCTCAAGGGCAAGAGGAGGTGGGTACGGACGATGTTGCCGTTCAATTCGATCTGCAGTTGGTGGGAGTGTGAGTGGATGCGTGCCGAAGACCATCGGTCAAGCTAGATATTCTGCATCTGTGCATTTAGCACTCACGCCCGCAAGTAGGGCCTCACTGACCTCAGCCAACCTGTCAACTGTCAACGGTCATGTTCCGCACTTGAGAAGCGCGCCGCTTGGGTAAGACGGCTAGCGGCTAGCGAAAATTACAGCGCGAGTTTGTCAGAGGTTGTTCTGCAAACTGTGTCAGCAGCAGAAATGCTTTATCCGTTTTTCCACCCATCCGCTTGCCCGCTGAGGTCCATCCGCCCGCTGAGGTCCATCCACCCGCCTGCTGACGTCCATCCGCCCGCCTGCTGATGATCATGATGCCCGCCTGCAGATGCTGATGATGCTCATCTTTCCGCCCGCTGATGCTCATCCGCCGGCCGGCTGATGGCCCGCTGATGCTCAGCCGGCTCACGCGCTAGCCCGCGCAGGCCGCCCCGTGCGCTGATGCCCATCCGGTCGCCCGCCGACGCTTCCGCCCCGCGGATGCTCATCCACTGCATCTGCCTGCGGGGGCATGGACTCATGCTGGGCTCATGTTGGACTCATCTGGGCTCATGTTAAACTCATGTCGGGCTCATGCTGGGCTCATGTTGGACTCATCTGGGCTCATGTTAGACTCATGTTGGGCTCATGCTGTGCTCATCTTGGACTCATCTGGGCTCATGTTAGACTCATGTTGGGCTCATGCTGGGCTCATGTTGGACTCATCTGGGCTCATTTTGGATTCATGTCGGGCTCATGCTGGGCTCATGTTGGACTCATCTGGGCTCATGTTGAACTCATGTTGGGCTCATGCTGTGCTCATGTTGGGCTCATCTGGGATGTCCAAAAAACGCATCCTTGCAAGGTTTGAGGTTTGGTAGACAACGGTTTTTTAGGGTTAATGAGTTTCCCAGCACGATTTTTGCAAGGGCTTGGGTTTCCTGTGCATCGGGTTTCCAAGTTTAGGGGAGTTTCCAAACACATCCTCGCAAGGTTTTTCGGGTTTGTATCCACTGGTTTTTCGGGTCGGTGCGTTTCTAGCACATTTTTTTTGCAAGGGCTTGGGTTTGCTTTGCGTCGGGTTTTCAGGTTTCACGGATTTCCAAAAACACACAGCCTTGCAAGGTTTTAGGGTTAGTGAGTTTTCCAGCACATTTTGTGCAAGGGCTTGGGTTTGCTATGCATCGGTTTTTCAGGTTTAAGGGAGTTTCCAAACACATCCTCGCAAGGTTTTTTGGGGTTTTTAGCCAATGGTTTTTTAGCGTTAATGAGTTTCTAGCGCGTTGTTTGCAAGTGCGTCGGGATTTCAAGTTTCGCGGATTTGCAAAAAAACACATCCTTGCAAGGTTTGAGGTTTGTAGACAACGGTTTTTTAGGGTTAATGAGTTTCCAAGCACGTTTTTTTGCAAGGGCTTGGGTTTGCTATGCATCGGGTTTCCAGGTTTAGGGGAGTTTCCAAACACATCCTCGCAAGGTTTTTTCGGGTTTGTATCCAATGGTGTTTCGGGTTAGTGCGTTTCTATTTGCAAGGGCTTGGGTTTGCTATGCGTCGGATTTTCAGGTTTAATGGATTTCCCCAACACATCCTTGCACGGTTTTTGTACCAGTTTTGTGTCGGGTCACTAAAGGCCTCGCAGCTTTCAGGATCTTGAGGTCCGGCCAAGCACGGCAAGCATCAGTGGTTTTTATTGGCTAACGGATTTTCAGCGAGTCGTTGCAAGGGTTTGTAAGGTTGCAAGCCGACGTTTTGTTTACAGGGATAGTGGATTTCCCATGCAAGGTCTTTGTTTCTTTGGCCAAGGGGTGTGGGGGTAGTGGGAAATTCCCAGCACGTCCTGCAAAAGTTTGAGCTTTTCAAGACTTCCAAGGCGTCGCTGCGAGAGCTTGGGTTTGCCAGCCAACCGATTTCATCGTTAGTTGATTTCCCACGATGTCCTGGCAATGGTCCAAGTTCTTGCGTACAACGGTTTTGACAGGTTAACGGATTTCCACACTCTAGGCGTGCCTCTTTTAGGGTGAAGGGATTTGCCAGCACGTCTCAGGTCCAGTGCGTTCGTGCAATTTCTTAGGTTTGCTCTGCAAGAGGTTGTTGGGTGGGGTTAGTGGATACTCCGACACGTCCCTGTAAGGTGTTGTAGCTTTGCAAACGGTTTTCGTGCTTATTCTGTCCTTCCCGGGGTGTGGGTTTGGTATGGGATTTTTCAACACGTTCCTGCAAGGGCTGCAGGTTTGACAACGGTTTTCAGGTTACAACATGGGATTTTCGGACGCGTGTTTGCAAGATTCGGCTGGATTTCCCAAGACGTCATTGTACGGGATTGGAAGAGTAGTCTTTGCTTCTTTTTGTTTGGTGAAAGCTGCACCGTGTTGTGCGAGTATGGGCCTTGTCAGAATTGGCCATTGAAGATGTGGATCTGGTCGCCGTTTAAGCCTTGACTTGGGTTTTGGTGAGATCGATTCCTTGTTCCCTGGAGTTTTGAGGCTTTTCGTCTCAAGGGCGTGGCGCAGGTCTCGATGTAGGCCCGTGTGTGACTTTGGCCGGTGCCGGTTCGGCTGATGGCTGGACGGCGACCGGCATCAGCTTATACTGCGCGACGAACTAGCGGAACTAGCGGCTGCATCTGGCGACACGGCACAGATGTGCAGATTCCACTCTTTTCGGGAGTGGTGCCCGGCATCCTTTACACGCCGATCAGGTGGCCTGATTTCATCCTGATCATGGCACCAGGCAGCAATGGAGGGATGGGTCCGGGAATCGATGCAGCTGACAGAGGGCTGCCCTTGACGAAGCGAACGTCTAGAGCCGCCCGAAATTCTATCTACGCACGGCTTGGCGCAAGCTTTGCCAACAGCCTGGACCTAAGCTTCGATGGTGACGTAGTGGCTCAGGGCCCTCAGTTACCTGTCTGTGCCGGCCTTCAAATCTCTTGGCGTCATTGCGTGGGTGGCACAGCCTGGCCGAAGCGCAAGTTGAAGCACCTCAGCTCTTTGCGCATCGCTGCTGAGGACATCGTAGCAGCTGTGTCCTTCATGAGAGAGCGCTATGGTGATATGCCAGTCATACTCGTCGGCTTCTCGTTTGGTGGCCCTGCAGTGTGGGCCGCAGCTCAGCGCTGTGAGGTGCATGGTATGATTGCGCTTGCATCATCCGCTCGTGGCGGCGAGCGCTTTGAGCATGCGGGTTTAGACACAGAAGCAGGCATCAGGGCCGCGGTGCATCGAAACCTGCCTGTCCTCTGGTTGCATGGACTCGCAGACCGCAACGTGGATCCTGCCGTGACGGCACACTTTTCGAGCCTGGCCGAGAAGCACCAGGAAACGGCAGCTACGAGCTCCAAGCTCACGGTCTGCATGATTCGAGCGTGTGGTCACATGTTCGACAGCAGCCGGATCCTCGCCTACCAGGTGCTTCGGGCCTGGCTTCTTTCCGTCTTCGGCGGCCCAGCCGAGTGGCCACTGGGACTCGGCGGACTCGGACTCGCCAAGGCGAAAGCGAAGGCGGAGCCAAAGCCTTGCTTGAGGCTCCTGCTCGGCTCACAAAGCAGAGCGGAACCCTTGGACCTGCCGGAGGTGAATCGCGAGAAACTGCGCAAGAAGCACCTGAAGGGCTACAGCGAGTAAGGACGGACAAACGCCGACCCTCCACCTGGAACCGTTCTGGCCGCTTGCAATGAAAGACGTGTCCGTCGACAGTTCTCGGCCAAAGCGGAAAGCTGTGCCGGCTCTGCAGATCGCCGAAGTGCCGAGCCCCGGAGAGAAGACCACTAGCAGAGAACGGAGTCCTCAGAGCGATCTGGACCCGTCCTCGCAGACCTCACGTCCTGGGCCAAAACCACTACCCTTGCAACTCAGACCTCTGCAGTCGCCAAGCAAAGCTCGCCCCCGGGCCGTGAAGCATGTGACATTTTGCTCTGACTGGCCTTGCAACATGTTGAGTTTGCCATCATAGCGCTGACGTTGATTTTTCACTTCAAGCTTCCAGCCCAGCCCCTTGCTGCAAAGCTTCTTCGCTGCTATAGTGACGGAGTCTGTGGTCTTCTATCAACATTCAGCCAAGCTCAGGACTGTAGCATGGCTGGCGGCTTGAGTCCTGGTGTTTGCTGAACCATGAAGCGGCTGCCGTGATGTCGGTAGTCGAGGTCTTCAGCCCTCCTTGTAGTGCCCTGACAACTGAAGCTGGAACTGTGCCGCTTGTGTTTTCAGTGGAAGGAGTGAAGGACAAGGACCGGCATGACCTTTCCGGGAAACATGATCAACTCTGCCGCGAACTCCGTCAGATCAACCACAGCAGCTCGGCTTGCAAAGGTGTCCGCGTTTTTCTTCTGCCGATCTGGTGCGGTGTGTTGCCGCAATCGCGTGAGGAGAACCGATTCCGGCGTCAGCGCCGGCAGGGTTTCCCAGCCCTTGGGATTTCCGTGCTCGAGTGTGCAACGGATGCGGAGCATGGCGCGGACCGCTTTGGGGCCTGCAGTCGGTTGCAGAGTGCAGGTCAGCAGGGTCAGCACGCGGTCAGGACCTCCAGGACATCAAGTTTCGTGGATTGGATGCCGACCGCAGGAGGACGCGACTGGTCGGGGCGGTAATGCTCATGCTCCTATCCAGAGCGATCCCGTGCCAGGAGCGAGTTAGACCTGCAGTCTGCCACCATGAAGGGACGCACCAAGGAGCAGGCCTCCGATGCTTTCTGCGGCCTTCTGCGAGCTTGTGTTGGGGGATCATTGGGGATCTGGCATAGCCAGGCGCAGATCTTGGCAATAGCCCATGGGCTGCAAGAAGGCATCGAAGATCTCCTCGCCGGTCGCATCTTCCGACCTGGTGAAAGTGACGAGGCCTCTCCGGCCTTTCGTGTTCCAACGTACCCTCCACCTGTCTCCCCTGTGTCGATGAACGGTGTTGCTCACCATTTTCAAGAACTTCTGATTTTCTGGGGAGAAGCTCCCGCATAGCTCTTGCTGGTCGCAGGTGGTTGCGGATTCCAGCAGTGCCGATTCGGATTCCAGCAGCCTGGGTCTGAAGGGAAGCGAAGTGACAAAGTGGAGGAGTTCCATCCCCTCCCTGTCGAGTCTAGCCGCCTAGCCCTTCTCCCAGGCAGCCCACCGCCAACATCGCCGAAGGACGTCAAGGCTGGCTGCTGTGCTTGAGCTAGACTCGACGATTTCGAGAACAGCAGGTCCAGGAGGCCGAGAAACCGGAGGTGCCACAGGAGGGTGCAGACCCAGTCAAGTTCAAGAAAAAGTTGGCTTCTCGGCCACGACGAGTTGTATTGTAGCAAGTCAGATTTTGCATATTCATGCATTTCGCTTGCGATGCAGGCTGGAATGCCTGGTTGGATGAAGGGCGAGGTGTCTGAAGACGAGGACCGGTCTTGTTGCGTCGTGCGGCAAGCTACCTAGTAGGATGACGGCAGGATGGAGGATTTAAGAAGCAGATGCAGCGGGATGTGCTCTGCAGCGTGAGGACTCGCACAGCGAAGCTTCAGGATCTGCCCCAGAAGGTGAGGTGCTCAGGTGCTCCAGCAGTGCTCCATGGGGCTGAACCTCGGTTGTGGTAAAACGTCTTCCGCGCAGACCCAAGCGACGACGACAGTGTGGACGGCTTCCTGAATATAAACTACCACGATCCTTGGCTGGCCATGGGAGAGCATGATCGATAGCGCAAGCTATGTGGCTTCAGGACATTGATGATATCGTGCAAGAGACGGACCACAGCAAAATCGAGCAGCAAGCCTGGACCCCAAAGGCAAGACTTTCGAACAGTTCTGCGCCTTTCACCTCGACAGGTCAATGCGGGCAGAGCCGCGACCAACCGAGCCTCTTTTGCAACAGCTTCTGACACTTCTCATACATGAAGTAGAGGAGGATGTAGAAGTAGCACTAGGAGAGCAGCGGCAGCAAGAAGAGTAGCTACAGTAGTATCGACACTCGTGTTTGCATTTGCATTCGTGTTCGTGTTTGTTTTAGTCTCACAATTTTGCGGTTACTTGGTAGCCGTCGCAGTCAGTAGCATCTGCAGTCGCCGTAGCAGTGGCAGTTGCAACTGCGGTAGCAGCAGCTAGAAGACCATACGTTTGCACTCATCTTCTGGGCTCTTCCAGCCCGTCACTGTCATGTTCATCACGACAAGATGATGATCTTCATCATCACCGTCATCATCCGCATCGTCATGTGCCATGAGCGTCCACAGCATCAACCTGATCACCATCCATTTCAACCTCCTCACCGTCTTCAAGGTATGGTGCCTTTATTGGGGAACGAGTCCCACCGGGGCTTGGTAATCAAGCACTCCTTGCCGCAGGATGTTGGATGCGTTTTCGGGTTTCGCTCTTCTTGAAGCTTTGGGCCTGCCGCCGATTCTACCATGCTGGGTTTCTGGGTGTTTGTTCTCCTTCCAGGTTTGTGATTTCGCAACTCACACTCCTTTCAGAGATTTAGGGCTTTATGGCAACCGGTGGCCCGTTTACAGAGTTGAGCGTTGAGGAACCAGTCCCTGCCTTTAGGGCTTGGGTTGTGGCCGAGACACCCCAAGCAACGCCGCGAGCTGATTGTGCAAACCAAAGCAAGGAGTAAGCTGCATATTCTATGCCACAGCGAAATCGCAGAGCAGGGCTTCTGAAAAAAAGTCTCGGTGGCCATTGGCGCTGTAGTTGAGTCGATGTTCCCACCAGGAATTATGTACGAGTGGAAGGAGTTCGCCCGGGTGAAACTCACCGAGCAGCTGCCACCTGCCGGCGAATTGGCTAATCAGTTCCCACGAAACATGATGTCGCCCGGAAGAACACCAGCTTTTCTGCGGACACTGAGGAATAACTGGTTTCAGCAAAGGATGCAACAGGGAGAGCGTGATGCACGTCGGCTGCATTGTCCAAGCACATTCGCACGGCTTATTCTGCATCCTGCATTCAGGTTGCAGAGCTGGACAGCACCGAAGCAGAATCCTTGGAGCCTCTTGGCAGTCGCAATTCGTTTAGAGACTGGACCCCACGTTGATCTCCGCAGCCACAAGGACCATGGCTGCCCAGTCCGCCGCTGGTCTTGAGTTGAGAAAGGGGGGGACGTCATTGCAGAAACAGTGCACCTTTGAGGAAGGGGTCAAGGGGGTGAAGAGTGGCATCGAGCAGAAGGACACTGCGAAACTTTTTCCGTGATGGAGTGGACTATGCGAGGGCTTGTCCACCGGTCACTCGTCGCTGTCTGGCAAGGCTTAACTTGGGTGGCAGGGGCCTGACGTTGGCCGCTTGTCCGTAGGACGTGTTGCAGTAGGGAGGCATGTGCCGTCATCTGTGGTGGCCATTGATGAATACGGTATGAGCATGTCGGAACAAGAAACGTGGCACTCGCAGCACTTGGGCTGCCCACCAGTGGGAGAAGCACGCCTGCTGACCCAGATCGCAAAGACAAGCAGTTTAGCAAAACAGGTCGCCTGCCGGCGGAAGGAGCGTTCTGGTGAGGAGTCGCTTGGTCGGATCGGTTCCAAGATGTCACGAGGGATTACCACATCATTCAGTGAGGAGAAGAATCTTTCTCACTGGTGATCGTTTATATGGGCTGCCCAGTCAGCTTTAGAATCGGGAGCATCTTCGAGAAATTGACAGGACATGGCGCTCTTCTCCACGATAAGCTGTGGCTTGGTCGCAGTAGCAAAGACCGCTTTTGAACCAGACCTCAGGGAGACTGAATCAGGGAAGGTGCGCCCGTGGTTGCTCGTCAGCTGCAGAGGCTTCCAGCAGAAGTTTGGGCAACGCCTGGACGAGCATTGGGAATCGAAGAGGAAGAGCGCAGAAGAACTGCTAGCCAGAGCAGCCACGCTGCACCCGGGTCTTGCTTGTGCGAAGAGGCCAACTGTCAGCTCCATGCTGACTGCCCAGGTCCAGCAGGAAGAGGAAGAGAAGCAACAGGAGAGGCTCAGGCGACATGTCTCTGGATTGCCGTGACCTTTGCGAATGTGACCTTTGACTTAGGTCCAGTGAGCCAAGGGTGCAGATATAGCAAACTGGGGCCCTGAGCTTGAAAACAGAGGATAAGTACTGCCTCAAAGCCTGTCGATCACAAGTGCGCAGAGATGATCACAGCTGCTCGTATTGCAATCCCCTGCCTCTATTCAATCTGGTCGGGAAGTATGCCATGCGTCGCGGCAGGAAGCGATCAGACTGTGTTTACCAAGCCAGACAAAGGTCGTTCCTCCCAAACAACGTTTTCCACGAAGTAGAACCTCCCAGATCTAAGTCGAAGGGTGGCGGTGTCGTGCAAGAAGCTCCAAGGGAAGTCGGACAGTTGCAACTTGCCCGGAAGGCGCCAGGCGGAAAGAGCTGCCAAGAAGTGCCAGCCTTTGCATCGAGTTGGCTGCTCACTTTTAGAGTGTTCGCATGCATCCTTCGAATCCAGGTTTCATGACATTGATGACCAGATTGCCGACCTCAGGGACCATATGATCATATGTTTTCCGTTTGCTGTCGTTGTGCTGTCAGTTGCGATTGCAACTCCCGTCAAGACTTGCCGGTTTTGGGTCATGCGGTCATCCGCAACTGGTTGTCTTGCGTAGTTGACCAACGCATGCAGGGGACCATTGTGCTTTTGGAAACTTTTCCGTTCTCTCTTGCAGGACAACGTCGAGCAGATCAAAGGGGAGATTCAGAGGATGGAGCTGATGAAACAAACGATGCCTGCAAAGACCCGGCGCAACTCAACCGGGAACAAGGCGGCAGAGGCCGGGCGTGCTCTCTTAAGCTTCCCGGATCCATGAACGTGCGTCTCGTGTTCAGGTGCTCTCGATCATTTCATCTCAGCAGGAGGAGGCACAAGTTCTGTCCGGGAAGCTTGCCGATCACTGAGAGTGACTTGTGCAACGGTCTGCGCCTTTGTTTCTATGGCCCTCAGCTTGAGGCCCTGGGCAGCCAAAGGCTGGAGGCTAGTTGTCTTCAAATCAACCGCACGCGGTGATGTGCGTACTGAGCATGGCTACGCCTGTGCAGTCCCTGGAAGATGCGGTGGAAAAGGCCAAGGTGTTCTTCATGAGTGCAGCCGCTACCCGGCAGCGATTGGCGAGACAGCTCAGCTTTCCCGCAGAATTCTATGAATTGCTGAGTTCAAGAGCAAGAAGATTCGGATCCCGCCAGCTGATGTTGGCACCTCAGTGCTTGCCAAACGGTCTCTCAAAGCCAGTTTCAGTTGCTCCCGAAGGATCCTGCATACCTTCTGGTCAGCGAGGCCAGCTCTTTGCAGCAACGCGTTGGGCGGGGGAGACTAAAGTTCAAGCAGCTCTGAGGCGGTGGTGAGCCAGATGCAGGCCGTTCTGGCACAGCTGATGCTGGAAGACGAGGCTCTCGCTGAGAGCGTCTCCTTGGCCTACAGCCGAGGCCTCAAAAGGCCTTTTGCTTACTGGAGTTCACCCGCGAAGCCTGGAACATTGAGGCACCTTCAACCGTCCCGGTGGTCATGCTATCCTGTTACGTTGGAGCAAGATGACCGTGTGCCTGTGACCCAGTGCCCGCTTAATGTCCAGATGCCAGGCAAGAAGAAGGTCAGGAATGGTATGCTGAAGTTGGAGGACACGCGCAAGGACAGGAAGCACAACTAGATGCATCAGGTTTGGTTGCTTGTGCCTTCGTCGTGTTTACTCGCAGCAAATCGCCTGCTTTAAAGGACGGGGACCAAAAGCTTTCCGGCTCGGACTCCTCTCTGCAAGGGTTTGGTGTGTCCTGGCGCAGTGGTGCCCGAAACCGAGGAAAGCTTCCAGCAAGTCGAGGAGATTGTTGTCAGCAACGACCCGGAGCAGAGACGGCTGAAGTTCAAGGTCAGAGGCTCCGCATTCGCTGAGACGAGAGCAAGAGTCAGCACAGGAAATCGAGACGGAGAGCACTTCCCTGCGGGACCGAGCGCTTGGGCAGCTGCTCTCAGTCCAGGGGCATCTTCATCACCGGTCCTCTGCAGGAGGAGATTGCAATTCTACAGAGCACGCTGGAGCAGCCCATTCTGCCGACGAGAACCCAGGCAGAGCAGGAGGGGAGATAGTAGGACCTGGTCTTCTTTCTTGCATCGTTTCTGATGCCCAAGCTTCTGGCTGCAGGAACCACTGGCAAGCGAAGAGCAGACGGATGAAGGTCAAGCACAGGATGAGGGTGGAGAGGACCTTTGCTATCGTGCTTGGGTCTTGAGAGGACGTCGCTGTAAGCAGGACAAAGAGCTAGAAGATGCGAAGCCAAGCCTTGAGGAGGTCAGCAGAGTTTTATGTTTCTACAGGATACATTGACATGTTTCTTTTGCTTTTAACTGTCTTTTGGCAACAAGTGCTACCTCAAGCGAGATGGAGCAGCCCGGCAGAGAACCCGCTTCGGTGCTGTTCATGCTGTCAGGCGTACCGGCGACTCCTGTCCACGGCTGAAGACACAGTCGAGATCATCAAGCAGAAGAAGGTGGCCCCTATTGTTCGCTCTGAGTGCTCTGATTTCTGCGAAACTGTTGGCATGACACGGTTCAGCACCGTGGAGCCAGGGCATCTTGACAAGCGAAAGAACCAAAAGCAAGTCGATTCTCGGACGGGACTTTGTCATGGCATTTGCATTTTGATATCCATGCGTTTGCCGACAAAGAGCAGCGCCAAGGATGCGTTCTATGGACTTTGCAAGCGGAGGACAGAGCATGATGCCGTATGATATCAATGCCGCACTTGAGTGCGAGAGTCGGTGAGGGGTTGACAGGTCAGTTGTAGACGCGCTAGTGGAAGCAACCATCAGGGTCCAACTTTGTTTGAGCTTGTCTTGGGAATTGACTCCCGAAGGCTAGGAATCGTCGTGTGGCCATGGAAGCAATGCAGGCGAGGTGGCCACGCCGGCATCTGGATCCGAGGCCGGTTCACCTGGTTTCTAGGCTTCACGGGGGGAGAGCGAGGCTTTACGGATCTTTATGGGAATGTTGGGACTTTTAGACTTTCGTGTTAGGCTTCCGCCTCCGAGCTCTGATTTCCAAACAACTCCGCACTGCCCCACCCACCCGGCCACAGCCCTACCCCTGGTGCTGTTGGAATGGGTCGCTGATGCGAACCACCTTTCGACACAAAACCGGGCGAACAAAGCAGAGCTACTTGTACCCTCTTTGAAAATATAGTTGCACCACTCAGAACTTGTCTCTTCCCATTCTGGGCAGCTATTCCGAGGGGCAACTGCGGGGAGCATAATGTCAGAGGGCACTGGCATGACGTTTGCATCGGCGGTGTTGCGTTGCTAGTGGTTGTCGAGAACAGAAAAAAGGAGATGGAGGCACCTTTTGATTGCGAGGCGCATGTGCCACCGGATAGCATGCTGCCGTGCTCATTTGATCCTGTACTAGTTGTCGTTGCCATCGAACCTTTAGCACCTTTCATTGCCTGAGAGGGCCACTTGTAGTGCGAAGCCAGGGCCACTTGTAGTGCGAAGCCAGAGTACAAGCATGTTGCTACACTTGCACTCGCATCATCCAGCACTTCCGTTTTCGCACGAAAATCGGTTCGTGGTGTTGGATCATTCAAACTGGAGGTTTCAGAGAGAGTTTGAAGGGGAACGCAAGTTGAACTGAAGATTTCCGGGACAGTTCGATGCTGATGGCACGTTTCCCTGAGGCACGCAACAACCCTCAACTGGACGAGCAGCTAAAGGCGTGGGAGTCCTAATGGTGACCATGTGCATCTTGAAGTCGGCCAAGAGTGTTCAAGCTCCGTATGGCGGTGATGAGCAGCTGAGGCAACAGACCAAAGCGGCCCGTTTGTCCGAGGAGGCCTGAGGATGCAGAAGCGACCACATCAGGAGCCCAATCTAGCAGTCCATTGCAGGAGAAAGCCATCAAAATGCAACTGAAGCGCTTGAGAGCTGCCACGGCGCAGGCCAGCGCAACACGCTGTGAGTCACGTTTGGGTCTGCCAATCGCCGAAGCTTCGACAAGGACAGGAGCAGAGCGCAGGCCAAGAGCTCCAAGGTCGCAGCGAGTGGCACCACGGGGCCGGCAGGAGAAGAAGCGAAGGCGAGAGAAGTCACAGCCGAGATGAGATCCCGAGAGCTTGCAGCCAGGCACCTGATGGAATGTCACCTTCCCACAAGGACTCGGCACAGGCCCACGAGAAGCATGCAGTCTTTGTGGAGCCAACAGTTCATGGTTACAGTGGGACATAGTGGGACACTGGGCGCGAACTAGCACGCGTCGCAGTGGGGATTCGTGGGCCTTAGTCACTTAATTGCGAGAATAAACTGGAGCTGCGCTCCGTCTGACTCCGTCGGAGTCATTTCCGGATTGTAAGAAGGAAAGATCCTGCTCCGTCAGCCTCAGGATGGAGCCTATGCTTGATGTCATGCAGCGGCAACACTGTATGAGTCAAAGGGCGGATATACGTTAATGACCCAAAAGGAAACATAGTGTCGAAGAGCAATCGTGAGCTCTGGAACTGACAGCCGTCACATCTCCCGCTATGGTTGCAGAAGTCCAAGTCAGAGGCTTCTGCAATCGACCTGCTTTGGAAGGGCAGCGGGTTTGGTAAAGCTTAGCACCTAGCTATAGATGTGTCAAGCCACTTGGTCTCTATCGGGCTCGAACTGCCAAATCGCATGCACGGCGCAGCTATACCCATCCGGGCACATGAACTGCGTGGCCTTGTGGCCCGACAGTCACAACAGGCCAACTAGCCATGCATGACATGCTCACAAGAAAGTGGTATGTCAGCGCTTCGTGTTTGCGGCGTGGAAGCTCCAGTTGCATGTTCTGTCTTCGGTGACAATATGTGTGACTGAGTTGAAGCCCGATCTGAGGTTACTAGCATGGCAGCACTCCAGGGTTTATGGCCCCTGTGATCTGCACACATTCATCCGCGATGAAACTTTGTACACGGTGAAGTTTTCAGGCTCGGATCAGCAAAAGCACTTCGCTTGTTCGAAGCGGTCTTGTCAACCCCCAGTCGGAAGGTCCCTTTGTAGCGGCTAGCATTCCTTCCACGCGCTGAACTCACGAAGACTGCGTTCTGTGATGCCGCAAGTGTTTTGCGAGTTTCAGCTTGGCCAAGCTGTTTCCCAGATCAGCGAACTATTGCGCAAGGTGAAGCGTGCGCACCGCAGGGCCACTTTAACTCCACACACTCGTTTTGAGGGTTGGATCCTTGGGGGCTGGATCAGGGGGGTTTGAAGGCCAAAACCAATTTCCTCAATAGTGCAGTTCAATATACCGATTTAAGGTTTCAAGCTGTTGTAGTATTAGCTTATTTATGTATTTTATTAGGAATTTCAGTGCCGGGGGCACGGCCGTTGACCAAAACATTTTAAAGCACACTGGGAAGCCAGCGTGAGGAAACCCTTTTTTGCCAAACATTTTTGCATTTGTCCAAGCCGGATGTATTGAGCGATGGTGTTCGCTTCTGTCCAAGCCGGATGTGTTGGAAGCTGAAACGTGGTCCTTTGTCACGTGCCACTGCTTGGTTGGCTTGGTTGCTTGGTTGGCTTGCTTGGCTTGCTTGGCTTGCTTGGCTTGGTTCGACTCGCCCTACCCATCCTGCACGCCCAAGCTCAGAGTGGTCTTAGAGACCGCTCCAGTCGGGCTCGGACCACGTGAGCAATGGGTCCTTGATCCGTGTGGGACAGCGTCGCTGGCCGGGCGCTGGGGATTTACTCTGTGTGCTGCTCGCCTGTCCAGCCAGGTGGTGTGTCCGCCGCGGGGTGAAATGCACACAGATTGCAGGGAAGGCCTCGCTACTATTAATAAATACTATGCCACGTACCCACACCACGGTCGAAGTATTAACTTCGATCACTGCTGCTTGCCGGCATGGCCCCGCATGGCATCTTATGCTGTGCCTCATTGACAGGTCTTCAGTAACCGGCGCGTTGCGCAGCGATTCCGGTGCACTCGATGACGAGCATGACCTGTCCTCTTGCGGGCCGGTATGCAAGGCAATCGGATTTCAGCGCTCCGCATAGGGCAAAGACGGCGCATACTCAGCAGGGTGACCCCATCTTGGCCGAATGGGGGTGGCATTTAAAGAAGTCTCCAGTCCGCATGACTGTCAGAGCACACTCGTGTTTGCAAAGACGCTGGGGAGGCCGTTACTGTGTCGGCATGGCATTGCTTGGCTTGGTTGATTCGATTCTGCAGTGGCATCAATTCTGGTAGCATCAATCAATTGTGGTAGTCAGCATGGCATTGCTTGGCTTGGTTGATTCGATGCTGCAGTGGCATCAATTCTGGTAGCATCAATCAATGTCAATGGTGGTAGTCAGCATGGCATTGCATGGCTTGATTGCTTCGATTGTTGCGGTGGCATCTGATTCGATTTTGCGGTGGCATCAATTCTGATACCATCAGTTCTGGTAGCAGCAACTGTGGTAGTCAGCATGGCATTGCTTGGCTTGGTTGATTCGATTTTGCAGTGGCATCAATTCTGGTAGCATCAGTTCTGGTAGCATCAACTTGTCAATTGTGGTAGTAACAATTGTGGTAGCGCTAATTGTGGTAGCATGATTTGCGGTAGTATAACTATTGTGGTAGCATCAATGGCAAGGTCTGCCTGGCATGTTTTGACAGAGCCGGGGGGGGGGCAGGGCTGGCATGAAATTTGCATTTTGCCAGGTGAAGTCGTTTCAGAAGGCATGTGAGTGATATTTGCGCGGAAGGCTCAGTGAGTGTGTGTGTGTGTGTGTGTGTGTGTGTCAGCTTGCTTGGTGATTGATTGTGAGCCCCTTGTAACCTAATGCTGCAGTTCTGGCTCAAGTGGTCTGCCTGGCATGTTTTGACAGAGCCGGGGGGGGGGCAGGGCTGGCATGAAATTTGCATTTTGCCAGGTGAAGTCGTTTCAGAAGGCATGTGAGTGATATTTGCGCGGAAGGCTCAGTGAGTGTGTGTGTGTGTGTGTCAGCTTGCTTGGTGATTGATTGTGAGCCCCTTGTAACCTAATGCTGCAGTTCTGGCTCAAGTTGTGCTATGTCGAGTGTGGCCCTCCAGCATCTCCCTGAGGAATTGTGTCTCGAGGAGCAGGGCCAGGATCTCCGGAAAGCACAGCAAGCAATCTACTTGCTCTATTTGCTCTGCCCGAGAAAGGCTGTTGATCTTGTGACACCTGCAGTACATTTCAGACAATTTCCAATTGAGAATAATTTGCTACCTGACATGTCATTGTTTCAATGCAACAACATTTGAGGAGAGCTTTCAAACGGGGAAGAGACGGCATCCAGAAACCAGAAGCCTGGATTCTGTCAGCCTGTAACAAGAACGTTAGAGAGCACTTTGGCAAAGATTGATGCAGCCCTTTTTTTTGGCGCTTAAACTTTCATCATTACAATTCCGTGTTCATTCGAGGCACAATCAAAGCTTGGGGATAGCATACAGCCAATTCGATGTCGGGAACTACGGCAGCAAGAAAGCCGCAGACGCCTCAACGAAAAGTTCCGGTGACTTGGGGCGGGGCAAAGGAAAAGAAGAAGACGACTCGGACGATTGGGGACGGTGGAGACCACGAACCGGCTATTGATGCTACTGATGACGATGTGAGGTCAGTTTTGGTGGGCGGCAAAACCTACGTTTGGCCGAAGAGAGTGGTGATCGTTGGTTATGGGGTTGCCGCCCATGGAAATCGTCCATCACCTCAGATGGCAGACTTGTTGGAGAAGTTGGACAGGGAAAGTAACTTTTCTAACAAATGGGAGGTTCGCTTGCAGGTGCAAATGCACGTGTCGAAGCTTCATGACATTTGTACATTTTTCATTCATTTCAGTTTCACTCAATTGACAATTGAGGGCAGTGACAGTGACAGTCATGGATGGAAGCCAAGGGAGGCCCAAGGAGGAAGGTTTGGCAGAGAATGTGGCCTATACCAGCATATCATGGAACAGGTGCCTGGTCGAACAGGTGTTGCTTCATGAATCGAGTTGTATAATAATTAATTTTAATTTTAATAAGAATTCACCCTAATGACCGAGGTGTATAGTCATCCCGCAGCGCTCAAGACGCTCCACTTCATCCTCAATTTTCCCGACAAGTTGCTCAGGCTTCTCGAGTCTTTGAATGCTGAAGGTCTTGGAGGTTTTTTTTAGGTTCAGGGACTAGGATAATTATAACCCTCCTATGTGGTCCTTCAATTGTCAGGATCTGCTGTTCGGCGGGATGGCACAGGACGTGTGCCATGATTGCGTTGGTCATGGCTCTCTTCCAAGTCGCTGTGCTGAACTGACTCATTGGTCCAGGTGACACTCAATTGTCTAGTTTTTGTAAGTATATCAGCTGTCAGTGCAGGTCTGTGGCATCGAATGCGTCGCATGGTTGGACACTTTAGTCCAGAAGCACAGAAAGGAAGATTACAGAGCCATCGCTGCCGATCAACAGCACATTATCGACTTCGCCAATGGCCATGACGTGTCGCTGAGCAGCTTCAGATTTTCGAATGTTGTTTTGAGGTTGTAATATGTAAATATTTAAATGCAATCCATGGTTCTGCCAAAGTGTGCATCAGGAAGCAGAAGCATCTCCTGCCGTCCATTGGTTGGTCGTCGCATGAATGGGGGGCAGCATTGCAAAATGCTTGGACCACATGGACCGACCAATTTGCAAATCAGAATGATTGGGCTTCCATTCAGATGTGCCTGGACTCGAATTCCGCATTGATTTGATTTGCAGTCTGCCCTGTAGTGCCAACACGTACCACTTTGACTCAGGAACTTGAAAACAAGAATGGTCAAGGACAAGCAGGAACATCCCGTGGACCTACCTTCCAGGACATTTCAGAAGCTTCAGAAGCGAAATCAGAAGACGAAGTCAAGAGGAACTGCTGCAGCAGCAGCAGCTGGGAGCAACACTACATTTTCGCTTCAGCTTCAAGAATAAATAATAACATTTCAGTCACAATTGACATCCTCAATTGAGTGTGTGTGTGTGTGTCGTCTTCAATGCAAAGCATTTGAGGTGCTGCCAGATGCCAAAAGAGCACGAACTGCTCCGCTTGAGATCCCGGAGACAGATGTCGATGACGCCACAAGAGGGGGTGGTGATCCTGCATCCTCCAGTTCTGCTACTCCGGCTTTTGCCAGGCCACCAGTGCCCGCTCCAGAGTGGACCAATGATCCAAAAGCATCACCAGCAAAAAAAACAAAAGCCAGCGCAACAGCATCAACAGACAAGCCAGGGGCAGGACCAAAAGCAG